ACATTTTTGTTGTTTTATTTGTATATATATATAATATATATATATAATATGTATGTATATATATATACATACATACATATGATCCATCACAATAATCCATAAATAGCCATCAAAACTTCACTATATCATACTATATCCATTAAACAAAAATCAAGAAATCCATGATAATCCTCAGATTTGCCGCTTCTTTCCACAGCTCGTGTGCTTTTGATACCAACGGCGCCTTAGGCCCAGCTTGCTCTGCGGCTGCCATGAGTTGTGGCCTGGGAGGAAAATGGCCTAGGCCTGTGGAAATTCATGGGAATTTATCCTGCACACATTTAGGAAAAGCATGGAAGGCCCATCATTTCAGGGGGCGTATCCTGCTGGAAAAGTATGGCAAAATGTGTGTTTTAGTTTCATCAATTTTCATCACCTCAAACATGGAGATTTCAACACTATTTTATAGAGGGAACATAGGGATTTATCCAACAAAAACCTCAAAAAATCTGATGTCAATCTCCTCTGCTAGGGGCTTCAATGGTTCAATGGCTCAAGCCAATCTCCGAACGTAGATCCCGTCGGATTCAATGGGACGAAGCCATCGGTTATGCAGATGTCATCCCGGAACATGAACAGGAAAGATTTCAGAAGATTTCAAGACATGGCCTGGTTGGTGGTTTCAACCCCTCTGAAAAATATGAAAGTCAATGGGAAGGATGACATCCCATATATGAGATGGAAAATAAAAAATGTTTGAAACCACCAACCAGTGGCGTATTAGTATTGACATGAACTTGAACTGACCATCCTGAAGTCAAGCTGTGGTTCTTGTGGCTGGCGAGCGGGAACTTGAATTTGATCCGCAAGAATGAATGGGTTTGTCTGAAAATAGCCAAAACCCCTAAACCCAATGTTAATCATCAATTTCCCTACTACTGTAACTGATTTAATCAAATGATATCAAATGGCTATAATTTCAGGTATACCCCATCTCCAGACACACCGAAATCATAGTAAATGTCAATTAGCATTTGGTGGGCCACGCTTGGTTTATACTTTGCCATTGAGAATCAAATCCCCATATTGTTGAACGGCCCCATTCTATGGTCCCAAATATATCTGTTCCCCTAGATCCACGACGGTTTCTGGGGCGTGCTTCATGTCAATGGGGAATGGGATTAAGTCGAAGTATAGTTGGTGAGTTACAAACCATGAAATACCACCACACAAATCATTAAACACACCTTAAATCACCAGATTTGTCGGGTAAACCCCATTAAACCACTGATCTCCTGGCTTGGTTTGCTGTTTCCTAATCAGTCCCCATGGCCCCCGAGCGCCATGAAGGGCTCCGCACGGATCCGAACGCTGCAAAAAGAGTTGCGATCTTCTGACCTTGTCACTGGATTCAGACATTGCTGATGCATCAGTAACTGGGTGGGAAGATTATTTACAACTGGGAATAATAGTCAATAAATATTAGTAATAGTTGGGAATCATAGTTGCTGAACCATTTTATACGCCATTATTCCCCAACTATTGATAGTTATAGTTATAGTTGTTCAACGATTATTACTCACCTGATATTCCAATCAACCCAATGAACCTTAATAGCAAAACATTAAACATATGTATAACTTAACTATATAGGATACAACGATTCAATTATCTCATTTCTCATGGTATACCCACTGGTAGTCCAACAGGTTGCTAATGGAAAACCACAATTTTTCATGGGTAAATCATCCACAAACATGCCATTTAAAGCAAACTGTCAGATTACCAAAGGACAATATGACCCCGATACCGACCACTCATCCTGCCAGGATTTAAAGTGGCTGGAACATTTAACAAATTATTGACACATGTATTTACCAGACAAAAACTTGACAGGCTTACCCATTGACACCTGTATGTATATTAGATATATATACATGATTATTTATGAATAAATGCTATAATTACATGCGTATACTGTAGACAGGCTTCCTATTGAAACAGGGCAATTTACCAAACATCCACCTATTTTTTTTCCTGATCACCTGTCACCGTAGCAAACCTTCCTCTTCTGGAAGGTTAGCTCAGCCAAGATGAGCTCAAGTTCCCCGAGTAAGACCCAGCACCACGATACCACGCATATTGGCATTAAATATATATTATATATAATTATAATTATATATTATATCAATCTCCCCCAAAAAGATCATGACATCTACCACAATTTCCAACCAAGGTGTACCCGTACCCAGAAACGATTGGGGGCTCTGTGTGGCCGGAGGAATTCACCGCATCCTGTGATCCTCTGTGCAACCCGTACCAGCAGCAGTGGGAACAGTCCATGCGACCTGTCAACAGAAAATTATTTGTGAACCAACGCCGGCACCAAGGGTTGTGTGGAATCACTTGCTACAAGGTGGTGCCCTCCAGTTCTGTTTGAGAGTGCATAATGGTTTAGAACCTAGCTAACTACATATAGTTTTAGTAACCGGAAATTTTCGTTCAACTACTTTGAAACCAGCTTAACTAACGGTTAGTTTATACACCCATCTAACATATAGTAACCATGTTTAAGGTCACCATAACCCAACTGCTCAGCTAGTTATAGTCACCAACTTCACTACGGGGCGCCACCTTGGAGGGATGCTATTCATGCGCTCATGTTTTTTGTTCGTCTATCCATTTACATACATCTCCGTCAAAAAACACCAGCCTCGTAGCATAGCATGAGCGTTGCAGCTGTCCAGGACTGTATGGCGTATCCTGCTGTGGGCGCAGTGGCGCAGCGGGGCAAAGCTGTATTGTGTCACTTTTCGGATCTGAAACCATTTTAAAGTTGGCGAATTTGAACCATTTTGAACCATGTTGAGCCGTTTGTAGGTTTGTCCAATACTACGATACGCAGCAAAATTCCAATTTTCATTGGTAAAGATCAGGTTTTTCACCATCAATTTTTTGGGTAGCAACTTTTTGGACACATGCATTTTCTTGCAATGAGCAGTGCCCAAAGAGCCTTCGTCATCCTTCAACCAGGACTGCCTGGGGTTTCTGCAAGTTCCTTTATATCCAGATTAGTCAATGATCACCACTAAACATCAGACCCAGTTGCATAACCAAAGGAAGTTTAGAAGCCAAACTTCCGACTAGTGGACAGATGCAGCAACAGTGGTGAAAAGAGTCAGTGAAGAGAAAGAGACATAGAGAGAGAGAGAGAGCCAGTAGAAAGAAGATCAAAGCGCGTGAAAAGGTAGAAAAGTCGCGAGACACTGTGTTTCCCAAAAATGTTCTTGTGGATTAAAGTTGAAAAATCCCCTCACGTGCGGAATTTCGGCAGTTGAGCAGTTGCAAAAGTGCACGAAGCACGTTTGGAAGTTAAATGCCTCGGGTTCGGAGCAGTTTTGGAAGTTGAGATGTTGAACAAATGCACGCGGCTGCGGCGCGAAGCACATGTGGAAGTGAAAATACTAAAAGCACCACATTGTTTGGATCACTTTTGGATGTTCGATTGTTTTATGATGTTTTATGTAGCAGGCACAATGGATTCTGCACCTCCAAGAAATCGTGAAATTCAAAATATCTTCCTCCAAAGGCGGTCCCAGAAAGGGCTGCAAAAACTGCAAAAACCTCGGGTCTAATCTCGGGACCCCTGTACCTAGACACTCTAGAGATCTCTAGATACCCAAACAAAGCGGCAGAAAAAGGCAGAAAAACAACACACTTGGGCAAAACGATTACGATTTTTTCTGGGTAAATTGAAGGTCTCAATATGGTCGAATCTACAATGTGGGCACCCCGTGGCCCCCCCAGTAAACCCTAGTAACTATAGTTCTAAGTACCATAAACCATCATTAACTATTGGTTGGTGGTTTCAACCCCTGTGAAAAAAATAGTCAGTTGGGATTATTATTCCCAATATATGTAAAAATAAAACATGTTCCAAACCACCAACCAGACTATAGTTAGTGGAGTTATAAACCAAAGTAGCTATCTAGGGGGCCCCACATCGTACCTTTTAACACTCACCACGTTTTTCACCACAACATGCTCTATGAGCCCAACTGGTCCTGTAGCGGCAAGAAACTGCGAAGCCATGCAGTGAAACCTGACGCGCCAGCAAGATGTGGTGGTGAAATGGGTAACTGGTTGGTGGTTTTGACCATCTTGAAAAATATTAGTCAAGTCAATGGAAAGGATTATCCCATATATTATGGAAAATAAAAAATATTTGAAACCACCAGCCAGGCGGCTATAATCTACTCAAAGTTCATGTGTGTACCTTACTTCAAAGTGCATCAAAGCAATGGGTAATTGGGTGATCTTGGGGGCTACTCATTCCTATTTCCAATGGGATAACTACCCATATCATTCATTGACCACGTACCAGGAGCGATGCATACCCAACTATGTGCTGCATGCAAACAATATACAGTAATATATATATATATAATATACGTATATACATACAGCATACATGCAGGGTTTCTTAAAATGGGGGATCCCCAAAACCATCGGTTTCAATACTAAAATGGTCTCATTTTGAATGATTTGTGGTACCCCTATTTGGGAAACCTCCATATGATTGCATCCACTTGTTTTGCTTGATGGCGCTGGTTAGAGCGGTAACATGTTGTTGAATGAACCTGGATAATCTACGATAGACGATAGATCTCAAATCAGATCTAGGCCATTTTTGTGATGAGCTGTCTCACCAGCCATCATTTATTGTGAGGTCAAAGTAAGCTCGTAAAAAACATCATGCTTGCATGATATTTCACCACCATCATATTAGCCCATGATTTCTATTAAACCCTCAGAGCTTCATTGGAAGAAGTGCAGTATCTATGGATATCTTTAGATCTTTGCTGGTTGGTGGTTTCAATCCCTCTGACAAATATTAGTCAGTTGGGATGATTATCCCATATATCATGGAAAATAAAAAAATGTTCCAAACCACCAATTTCTCCAATTTTGCCGGCGCACAAGCTTAGTACACGAAGCCAGTGCTGTTCACTGCAAACATGCTATGCGGTCCTAGGAAACAAAAGGTCTCGGCTAGGAACTGGTAGGTGGTCTAACTCTTTGGACTGACGTCGATATGGTGTAGCAGTATACGACAGAAACCAGCGATCCACTGCAGTCAAACGGTCAGACGGCCATGGTACTGCTAGGCAACTGGCATGCATTGCAATCATCTCGCTGTGCGGTCTTACATAATCAGAAACAACTTTGACTCCTGAGTGCCGCAATATTTCACGCAAGACCTTGGCAAAGGATCTGGCTCGACATTTAAATCCAATACTCAAGAGACCATGCAAAGGCATATCGGCTCCATCTTTCCAACCTCCAATGTTAATCGGCCCAACTTCCCCAGTCGACAGCGCAAAATCAACAAATAACTGAGCATACGACACCCAGAGACATGGGAGCTGCGTATGCTGCACCACAGGCCAGAACCATGAAACCAGCTTCTGCACAATGCTTGAGCCATACCATCGCACAGCTCCTTGAGGTAAAACAGGCAAATCTGGCAAAGGCTGCCAAGTCTGAATCGGGACAGAGGTCATGGGAACACTCTCAGGTTCAGCTTCATGATTGTTCACCCCTTCCAAGACCTGTTTACTTACAGCCAAGAGAACTTTCTGAATTTGGGCATTCCATGCATCAACACGCACACATGCAGCTGTATGTCTCGCAAGCAAATCCCAAAACTCCGCAGGGCGCAGATCTTGAGCATGTGCAGCAGCACGATCAGCAAAATGATTATGTTGAAAACACCATTCCTCCAACAAGGTGTTGGCTTCAGCCAGGTTTCTGTGAGCTGTCACTTTGGTGCAGTGGATCTCACAACTACCCTCCTGTAAGTCATTCTGAATGTGAAGCCACAGATCTGCATTGGGAGAATTGATCTTGACTCTTGCCCCTCCCATGATCCTACGCAAACGTCGAACCACTGAAAGACAGTCAGACCAGATCATAACCCTCAAACCATACGTGGCAGCAATACGAACTACCCGATGCACAGCAAACAGTTCAGCCCTGACAGACGTCTGTCGAAGCCCTGGAAGCGGTCCACAGTCAAGCACTCTAGCCGGCTGGAGCATAGCAGGATCAGCAATGACCACCGCATAAGAGGCAAACCGTGCTTCTGGGTAGGCAGGGTTACAACAGCTTCCATCAGTGAACACATGCAACATTTCACCAGCAACAGCTGGGGCACCTGGAAGGTCAGGACTGGCAATGTTATGCAGGAAACCATACCACTCAACACATGTGGTAGGGCGAAGAGCCCAACCATAACATGTAACGCATTCAGGGAGCTCCGGAAGAGCAGCAAACAGCTCAGCATCAACTCCTTCCCTACTGGTCTGGAAGGAGGGGCATTGCCAGAATCTATGAAAACGAGAGTCAACACACGGGCAATACATGCAGACATCAGACTCACTCTCCTGGCAATAATGCTTGGCATCCTGAGTGATGTGGGCCCCATTCAATAATTTCCGATAGGCTGCCCTATCAGACACCGAAAGAGACATCAGCCACCGACGTGTCTTGCCTGGATCAACGCGAGCAAGTTCCGACAGACCAGGTCTATGTTCAACACTGGCAGCTACCACTTTGAGCCAAGACCATTCCATTCGCCATTTCAGCTCTTCCATGCAGAGCTCAAAGATAGAAAAGCAACCAAAGTCATCAACCACACTCAAAGGGCTGGGGATATGCCAACCAAGAATCTGCAACCTTGTGAGCAATGTGGCAGTAATTCCATTGCGCATAACACCATCAACATCATGGACAAGGGCGCACAATGCACTACCGACGACTTCAGCAATACCACAATCCCTGACTAAGCGGAGAGTCTGAACAACGGCCCAAAACTGAGGATCTGTAGTGGGCTGTTCAATGAGGCTTAAATGAACCATTGCATTGCAACCTGATCCAGAAGCATTGAGCCCTTTCATCGCAGCGGCACGAAGGCTACTAAAATGTTGGGAGGCTATAGTGGTGGCTGCAATGGCATGCAGCCCCCTGGGCCATGCTGCAGTTCGGATTGCACGGACTTTGAGTTCATATGGAGAGGCTGAAAGCTTCAACCGAGACCACATGGCTTGCATAGCATCCAGACGTTTGATCTGGGTCCCATTTGTATGCTTACGGGAAATTTGGACATGCGCTCCCAGCACCCTGCAACAGTTCTGAACTTTGAACCCATGAGCAGCAAGCACCTTTCGTCCGTGTCCACAAACAGACCAAGCAAAGGTCTTATGGTCATCCAACAGCATGTCAAGGGCATCAGTAAAACGACGAAGGCACTGTCGAATGCCATCGAGCATGTCAGGAGATGTAGTAATGATGGTCCAATCATCTACATAAGACACCGGCTGACACAAGGGAAAGAAACAAACATGCCATTCATGGAAAAGGATGTCAACGATCAGCATGCCTAAGCACGAGAGCCCATCTCCTTCCGGCATTCCAGTGGAGCTGAAAATATCCCTGGTCAGGTTCGAACCAATCTGAAAACGACGCCCAACTTTCACTAGTGCACCTGCCCAGGCTGTGAGCATGGGAAACGGGAGGCCAAGCAAAGCAGCTGCTTCAAACACCACGACCCTAGGAATGTGATTAAAGGATATTAAAGGCTTTTTGCAAGTCTGCAATCAACCCCGTCAAAGCCACACCATGCGAGACAGCAGACTCAACTGCCCAAAGAAGCTGACTCCAAACCTGACCGGCAAATCTGGCAGGCCTACATCCATATAATGTGTCTGGCAGGTGCTGGTCCAAGGCTCTGATAGCATTTTGGGCCTGATAGGAACTCCAAACCCGATACAACATACCAAGAATGGTAATGGGGCGATAATCTCCAACAGAACTAGGATGCTCAGTCTTGGCCAAGCAAACAACTTTGCCCTGAAGAAGTTGTCCAGGCCAGTCCCCTGTCACTTCAGCTTCTTGAAACATGTCACAGAAAGCAGCCTGAGCATTGCTGGGCATATGTTGCAGGTCAGCAACAGTCACCCCATCCAATCCACCTGCAGATTTTCGGCGTTTTTGCCCCACCAATTGAGAAAACTTCACCGCATCCAAGGCTGGCCAGCTCATAGGTACAGTGCGCAGTCGGCGCTTAGCAAAGTCTAAGATAGTATGCCAACGCTCATAAGGAACATCTTTGTGCCGATCCCATCTAGCCTTCCAAGCATCAAGGAAAGCTCTTTCCAATTCTTGTTTGGACCCAGTGCACTGAAGCTGAGAGACAGGATCCCCAACAGCAACATCAGCAACGGATTCAAGCCAGAGACAGTCATGTTCAGCATGGATGATGTTAAGGGCACGACCTTGACTCAACACCGGCTGATTGGAGACCCAGTTATGCGGGGGGTCAACAACAATTGCAACCTCATCTGCTCGCACTTCCACAACGGTGGCCTTCATGGGTTGTAGGAGGTAATCAACCCCATTTGCAGGCAAACTTTTCAAATCACGAAAAATCATGTTGGGCATTTGAGCTCTACGCATGCGTGCATACTGTCTAGAAGACGATTTCAACTGTTTTTCAAGGTCACGAACATTAATCACCAAGGACTCAAAAATTTTGATGGCCAATGCATGTGGTGGAGGCACCCATGGCAACTGACATGGAGCTCCATGCACTTTGTTTGGGCATGAGGCCCACCAGCTGGAAAAGCCCCCTGCAAACCCAGGGGCACGCACAATAGAACCCCAGACAAGCACAGAATGTTCACTAGGAGGATTCGCATCACCAATGCAACGACAGAACGCCTGGAGTCTACGAACTTGTCTAACCCATTGGGAGTACCTCAGAGAGGATCCATGGAAGTGAGGCTGAAATTCACCAGCGCGACCAATCCGCACTGGGGCAAATTGTCCAAACTTAACCGCCTTAGTGGAGACCGTCTGGGCACGACCTCGGACCTGCTTGCTAACTGGAAATGGCAATTTGGCACTTGCAGAGTCTTCAAGGAGAGCCCAGAGTTGAGCATATTTGGCATCCACGTCACCAGTCAAGCTGTTCCAAACACCAACAGGTATATCCCACTCCACCGGCCAAGGGAAAGGTTTGGGGCTGGGCCAAACGTCCCGAGGAACAGACTGTGTGAGTCTATGAAAGTGTCCTTGGACCACGGCGTGATCTGGCCAAAGGTCTTCTATCACAGAAACATGCAATAGCAAAGCCTGAAGTTCAGGCGACACATAGCAGAAATCCTTTCTTGTCCGAAACTTACAGGTAGCCTTGGGACGAATTCCCCATCTCTCCTCAGCAATATCCTGCAGATCCTTGAATCCAAGTTGGGAAAGCACATCAAAAGCAGGAAGCTCGCTCTGACAAACGTTCCACTCCCCTGCTATGAAACGCGGTCCAGAGGCAAGATATCCAACCGACGAAATGGCAGCTTGAAGCAACGCTTCAGTATGTTGCAGGCGCATGGGATAGTGCTTGCTATCTGGTTCCCCATAAACAACAGCACCAGTCAGCCAAACCTTATCCGCAAAAGTTGTCATGACCATGATTCTGGAAGAATGGGCAACTTCTTTCGGCCAATCCTGGGGAATATGCCGAACAGGTGTCTTGGACAGAACACCAACCCCCTTCCACGCACCAGTATTATCTTTGGAAACCGGCACAGGATACCCACCAAGCATAGGAGCAAACGGTGCATTGGCAAATTTCAACCCGGCATTAAAGGAGCTTAATTCCCTGGAGCATAAATGCGTCTCACTAAATGCCCATATGTCCCCATGGGCCATTTGAGTAGCAACAAAAGGAGCTTTGCTGCGCAAACCAGAAGGATTTGCAATCCCCAATACAAACATCGCATCTTCTGGGCCAGGATTGGCAGCTTCACCTATCCGGACCACTGGTAAAAATACCATCAGTACAACCAGTCGGGACCACACGTTCTGCACAGCAGTGGGTCCAGCAGAGATGACTAAACCCCCAAAAAGGAACAATGGGCAAAGGCCAACACAACACAGCATGAAACTACCCAAGATCATCGCAAAGGCAACCATGTAGTGAAACCATTGGCCATGCCCATCCCATCATTCACCATCCTCACGCGGTCTTTTGGAAAGCAAACTTCTGATATGGGTCAATTGATTCTCGAACATTGCCTGGATACTTTGATTCTGCGACTCAATTTGCCCTTGGAGCTGATGCGACTGGACAGAAATCTGTGACTGCAACGAAGCAGTGCTCTGAGCCTGCTGGGTGGAGAGCTCTTGGACTTGGCCATCCAGAAGCACCTGCTTTTGCACCATCTGCTGAAATTGCTCTTCCAGTAGCCCTAAACGGTCAGGCAAGTCATCCTGCTCCATCGGTTGCGGGAGCTTGGCCATGATCGAAGCTTGGATACGCGACTCAATTTGGTGAACACTCTCAGCAGCAGTGGGAGCAGCCCGAGGAACTGTCACCGGTTGGAACTTCCCCCAAGGATCACCTTTGGACCAAGGGTCTTCTTCCTTGGGGCCACCACCACAAAGGGCCAACGTAGATGCCGAAGCAATGGGCTGCGGAATGTCAGTCCGATCAGTGGTTTCACTCGGCTTCTGTTTGGAAATGAGTATTTCCCCATGACTGGTGTGCACAATAGAGCTAGGAGGCTCATCCACAGCTTGAACTAACCACATGGCACCTCTCCCTGGCTGGGGGGCAGCAGGCTGAGGGGGTTTGCATTGCCATTGAACATGCTTCATAGCTCGGTTGATAGCCTGTCGATCAAGTCCAAAAGGGAACGGACCCACAATGTAATTGGTGCGCTCCCCAGACGGCAGAAACAGAGAATCAGGACGAACCGCCCTATGAACCTCCTGTGCTTGTGCTGCAGTCACACGCAGTCCCCTACGATCATTGACACGAGCCAACCCAACAACTGCAGGGTTAGTTTGCTTCAAATGGGAAAGCTCCTGCAGTGACATCTTACCTGTCCAGATAAACATGTACTCCTGGAGGACACGCTGTCCATCAGCCGAGCGAGGTTCTACGTAGGCACCGGCACTCCCACTGCGAGTCAGAACTCTTTCCAACAAACATGCTGGCAGGCGAATAGAAACACAAAACAGGTCAGCCTTGGTTGCATCAACTGGTTTGAATCCAAACTTCACAAATTGCCGTCTCCACAAATCCAAGATGGGTTCCCTGATTGGAAGGTCTTCAGTGTTGTGCCAAGCATTACAGGAGCACCCTGTGTTCATGCACCGCTTAAGTTCAGGAAAGAGAGCAACAACATACCGAACTGGAGCTTTAACCAAGCCATCCCAATCATCAATTTCATCCCTGAACACAGAAACACGAATGGTGCGGACATCTGGTGAGTCCAGAGAAATGAGATCGTTGCCTGCAAACTTTTCAACAACTTTTGCCCCAATTTGGATCAAAGTGGCCTCGGCTAACACAGGTTCATTGTCAATCAAGCAGCGACAGGGAACCATGACTCTGCTCTGTGCAAGCATAGATTGGAGCTTGAAGTCGGCCCGGTGAAAGACAACTAAAGCAAGCGGTTCCTGAGAGACTAAAACACCAGCCTTCAAGTAGGGTTCGGCCTCTTGGGGTGTCATCAACACAAAGCCTGAACTGATGGGTCCAATCTGCTGCAAAGACAATTGTGGCAAAACCTTTTGTTGACATCGAAATGTGCCCTCAAGGACAACCAGACGGCTGGGATCCAATTCAACTGGCAGCGGAAACCCAGGAGCCTTGGAAACTTTCCCTGATTTCTTGCCAATGGTCTTGCCTTTGTTGGAGGCAATGGTTGCATCAAGTTCTGCGGGCAATACCAGTTTGAAACTTACATTGCTAGCCAAGGCCTTCAAGTGGCGCCAAACCTGCTTTTGCTGGAGTGCATGCTGCAACTGCTCACTTCCAATAGCCTTGATAGCCTGAGAGGCACGCTGTTCAGAAAGGTTCTCTGGAACTCCATGGAGACACAACTCAGCCGACAATGATTTCACAAGGGCGCCAGAGCCCCCAGATCCCCAGACTATTGGACAAATGCAGGTGGTGCGCTCATACATAGCTTGGACAAATGAAGCACGCATGTTGACTCGCATGGCATCAAGCTCTTCAATGTCTTCTGGCAAATCAGCTTGCAACAAAATATGCGCCAAGAAAGCAAGAGCATGGGCACCACACAAAGTGTGGGAAGGAAGTCCATGGGGAACCCGATGAATAACAACCTCTTCAAAGCCAAGGTGAAGCCCCATCCAACGCAGCTTACCATCAAAGATATCGTAATCAACAATGTCATCAAAAGTGTGAATCACCAACACCATCCCTCCAGGCACAAACCATAGCGGAATCCAGTGATGACCTTCAAGCACGACTGCGACAATCTGATGCCCCTTTTCCTTGACTTGCGGAAAGTTCTGACACCACTTTTCCGTCACAATGTGTCCGGTGGCATCCCAGTTCAGAAAATTGATCCCCTCAAAGCCCGGAACAATGGGTAAAACTTCATGACCAACCAGAATACGATCTCCACGTTGTTTCAGCAGAGTGGCAAGATGAAATCTGATTTCATCATCCCCCATATCCTTGCCATGTTCCACAAACAGAGCAATGCGATCATCAGTGTCAATACAAACATGAGATGATGATGGCATGGTCGGCAGCGCAACAGGCACTGGAGTTGTTGACTGCGGGACACCAGATCCAGTGGCCCCACCATCCTCAGAGCCCCATTCACGTTCTGTAGCCTCTGAATCACTAACACCAGAGGCCCAAACCCAAGGTCTACTCACCAGTGTCTCATGAAGCAGAGCTTGTCGAAAGAAGTCACGAAACTGAACATGCAGACTCCAAACTTGCGAGTACTTGACCGCAACAGAGAGTCCCAGCAATTTGTGACGAAGAAAATCTATGGCACTTGCTCCACACGCTGAGTGGCAAATGAAATTTGGCATTTCATGATGGAATCGAATACCCTCAAATCCAAGGCCCGAAGCAATGTCAACCAACATGTTCACAAGCTTGGCAGGTATTTGCAAATGTCTATGACTAAGGACAATAGTCACATGATCCCCAGCTGGGAGAAACAGTACAGGAAACCAATGCTTATCCCACTTGAAGACTCCAATAACCTTGGTTTGGTTGACCCACACATCACACTGAGACTGAGCCCATCGGGAACTTTGCAAGGACCGGCCATCAAACCATGAGGAGAAGCGCAAGGGGTCAATCACCAGAGGCCTGTTAAAATCTCCATCTGTCATTCCAATTGCTGCACACACTGCTGCAAGCTCATGCAAGTGAAAACGAATTTCATCATCAGCCCAGATACCATACTGCCGAGAAAGAATGGCCAATCGATCAGAAACGGAAATCAGCTGTGAACGAAGCCACCCCAACCGAGGCAAATCTTCAATGATCGGAGTCTCAAGGTCTTTCAACATTTGGCAATCAGCAGCCAGGAGCTGAAGCAGGCTCAACTCATCGGATGCACTGGGCACAGCGGCCGGCAAAGACTGGGTTCCTAAACACGTGGAAGGAGCAGCCTCTGATACAGCAGACTCAACAGGAGAGAAAAGCACTACGGACTCCGGCACAGTTCGAATTTCCCTGGTAAAGGACTCAATAGTAGACCTCACCGGTTCAGGCTGCTCAACACTGGTGGGCAATCTAGGGAGTGGCCCACGTTCCCCTTCAAGATCATCATCAGCATCCCCACTACCCCATATCCATGGTCGATGGGCAACACCACGTTGTGTCAAAGCTTGATGAAAACGCTCACGAAGCATGGTATGGACCACATCAACTTCACTGGCCACAATGGGCAGCATGGTTCCATGTAACACTCCATGAAGGAAATGGATGGCCATAGCCCCACATTTGGTGGAAACCGGAACAAGTCTTTGCTGACGGTTGATCAATACTGAAGCAAAACCTAAGGCTTTTCCAATATGCTCCAAGACCTGGTTGAACCGTTCATGACCATGACAAGGCGCATCCCATGTGAAGATATTGGCATGCACTCCACAGGGGACAAGTTGAAATGGAATTCCAATGCGTGTCCAGACGACCAACACCAATCACTTGGATACTGGACTGAAGAACATCCATATGGCATTGTGCCCAATCTTCAATGGGGTAACCACATCCACAGATCCAGGCACCCATCAAAAGTGGGTCAATGACACACACTTTGGCTTTGCCAGTGTCGACAACCTTGGGAAGACAGCCAAACTGCTCAACAAGTTGCTTCAAGTGAAAGGCAATTTCATCATCAGCCCACAAACCTTGTTGCACATCTAACAATTGAATGCGTTCATTGATGGTGACAACTTGGCTGCGTAGTGACAGCAACTTTGCTGAATCCCCAATGCACGGTACAGACAATCGCAAAAACTGCTGCTGGGACAGCCCAAGGAGCGCCTGTACAGAGCCCCACAGCGATGGCAAAATGCCTTGTTCTGAGACATTGAACTCACAATCCCTTTCTAAGTGGCACTGCTGTGTCCAAACTGCAGTAGGCGAAATCTCACAGGTGGGTAAGGCACCACTTTTCACATCAGATGGCAGATCTGCTTGCAAAGTCTCATCGGGCAATTTAGGGAGTAGCCCGGATTCCCCTGGAGCAGCAGCATTGGGAAGTACAGGAACGGAACTGACAATGCCATCAGGGCGGCCAGGACCCATATCAACATCATCAACGGCAGGAAGAGCAGCATCCCTATCATTTTCTGATTCAGACACATGATTCGAGAAATGTTCACCTTCACCTGATTTGGACAAGAAGACAAGAATGGCTTGTCCTGGCTCAATCACCTGGTTGAAGGGAAGAAAATGCCCCCGATCATCAGAGACAAGTTGAACGGTCAAAGGACCCGTTAATCTGGCATGTGCTTGCAAAACATCAGAAATGGTGGACCCGGCCTGAAATCCAAAAGGAAAGGAACTGCCATCAACATCAATCAAAGTCACTGTGGAAACAGGCACCTGCAAACACAGATCACATTTGGGATCTGCAATGGGCTGGTCATACCAAGGTGTTTCTGGAGCCTCAATGTCAGGAGAGACTATCACCGCCTCCGAATGACTGCAAATGATGCTGTCCAAGACAGCCGCAATGGAAATCATTTCAGCTTTAAGCGCAGGCCAATGACCACAGAGCATCAACTGCGTGAGAGGAATTTCCTTATAATCCTGCCAAAAAGCAACCAAATCACACAGCGTCTTGTCTTGGACGACAACATCATTGCATGGCCACATAGAAAAACACTTCATGAGCAACCATGAACGAAAAGCAATCAGTTGCGTCTCAGGCGGAAAAGGGGCAAATCCAAACCTGAGAATCGAAATTTTAGAAACCAGGAAACTCAAAACCCACGCTGCTTGCAAGGGACTTGCGATCTGCCCAACTCCAGACAAAGATAACCGTACATTCAGCCCAAGGTCAATTGTGCAATCCATACCATTGAGGGCCAAGGCTTCATTCGGATGCAAGTGCCTAAGGCATGGAGGAGGCCCTTGACCAGCCTGTGACTGAACCAACAGCCCAAACAAGCCTTTCTCCTGAAGGCGCTTCTCAGACAATGCAAATCCTCGGCAGCCACAAGGACAGGGGCGCAACTGCGAACCCCAGGCATGAAGTGCAGTAGGAGATACCCCTTCAGATGAAAGCATGAATCCTGGATACCTACCATCTTCAGCTCCAAAGGCCAACCTCTCAGCATCATCCAATGACAGAGCCAACTCATCTCTCGGATCCCATCGTGCAATATACGGAATCAGGCATTTGACAATAGGCAAGTTGTTAATGGGAGACCAACTTTGCAACCCTACTCCACCAAAACATGGGTCAGTGAGTAACCACCATGTTCGTGAGCGGCGACAAGGCCAAACATCATGAAGGTGAAGGTCAATTTGCTCTTTCTTGAAACCAGTAAGCTTGATGAAATGATCGATGCATTGAGAAACGAATCTGTCTGAACCTGCCGGTGTGACACATTCGAGCAGGACCACCTTGCTTTGAAGGTAATAGGCCGCTTTTAAGGCTTTCGGGAGGGACTCAGACCTGGGGTCATTACCACTTCGTTGGTCCCCAAGGCGACTGAACGGCTGACAGCTGAAGCCGGCAGAGAGTATCTGGGCCCCATCAGCTTTCTTCCACGCTTCAGCGATGACTGAAATGTCACCCAAATCACCTGTGATGACTTCAGCACCTGAATGTTTCTTATGCAAATCTGTCATCAACACATTGGAATCAACTGCAACCGTAGTGACAACCCCAACTGCTTGCGCTCCATGTGAAATTCCTCCAATCCCGCAACATCCATCAATCATTTTGTGCATGTCAACCCAGCTAGGAGGAGAGTGGGAAAGAATCCTTGTTTTGGCAGAGGTCTTGACCAGAGGACATGGGAACTGTCGCGCCACTTCCACATCACAAAGGGTAAATCGCATGAATCCTGCCGGCAGCAATCCAGAAAAATAGCAAACTACACCAGAATGGACCACCTTGACCTGATGAGCGTCATGTGAAGGGTCAAAAATCAGAGGCTCCACCACGAGAGTAATCAACTGACCTTTATCCACATTTCCAAACTCCTAGGGGAATGAACCACATGCCATGGCAAAAGGTGAGGAACGAAAAAGCTCGAGGATTGGTACGTCCCAGCCGCACCACTGGGAGGAGCTCGAGCATCACGGCTGTTCCAAACCACCAACCAGTTTGTATATAGATCTGTCGAAGGCCAGGCCCAGTTCACCCCCTGCCATCCCCAAGCCTACTATTTTTTTCGATGCTTAAGGCACTTTCCATTTAAAAGCAGTTCGCAATCCAGATACAACAAACAAAAAAAACAATTGGGAACCCAAACAAAAGCAATTATATGGGGATGATCATCTTTACCAACACAAATAAATGCACAAAAACACTCGAAATTTGTGTGTGTGTGGTTCATATAGTTCCCATTAAACCACTACAATGAGGACGTTACCCACATTTCACCAGCATTTGATTGCTCCCTGAGTGCAATGACCCATGGAATCATTTGGGAAAATCATCCGAGTGATGTTTAAGTTAATGGTCACCCCCATTTAACCAGCTAGGCTAGTAGTGGGGACCCCAGAATCGTATGCCTATCAAACATGTCTCCCAGTGGATCCAAATACTTTCTGAAAAAGTGATGATTTGGGTATGATTTGGGTATGATTTGCGGGATTCAAGTAGTACAAGTAGCATGTGAGAAGGCATTTTTTGGATCCACATGGACTGATAACCTGGGCACACTCCAATTATCCAGATTCATCCATTATCGTTGACTATTTTCCATTCCATCTATTATTCACCATGATTACTGAGCATATGAACATGTTTATCAAACATTGTTAATAAATTGTCAAACAAACAACATGGGACACTTATGAATTAAATGAATTAATATGATCAACGAGTATTAACCACAGATGATAACCTGGGATGAAGGCCTGCTTCCATGTCCTGGGTAGAGGACGTGAGGTCCTCAAAACAGCATAGCAAAAAGCCGCTGAATAGCCATGATTTTTTTGTCTAGTTGATGCTTATTTTTTGCCCATTTTTGTTGGACGGTGAAGTGACCATGGTCAAGTGTCCATTTTCTGTCCATTTTCATGAACAACGATGGTCACTTGAGCTTTCTATTGTACATAAAAACAAATGTTGTCTATCTTTTGGGAGACCGATTGAGCCGTAGATAAAACTGTACTGTAAGCATCGTATATCTATACTGTATATATATATATATGTATGATTCATATATGATATATGTATTGAATGATTTCAGTGCAATGATATGCAATATTCATTGTATAATGCGGTTCTACTTATTTGGGTGAGATAATTTGCCATATTCCAACTAAAACCGAGGAAGCCAAGGATTGCACTGTACATAGAAGCGGATATATGCCCTTGACTGTTTTGACTAGAAAATCATCATCCACAGCACTGGGCAATACAATGGCTTGTACATCGGGGAGAATAGGTAAGTTGGTTTATGACTAGGCAAACCAGGATTTATGGTGGATATATACAGAAGTTAGATGTGCCCGGCTGAGCACTCAATCCCTGGCAACACTACACACAACAACAGAAACATGCAACGTGTAGAACTCCTGGTGAAACTACTGTATCATCTGCTGACATGTCATGGGCAGCGAATCACCTGGCTGCATGAGAGTGCTGTTTTGTTCTGATTGAACAATGAATCCACATTTTTTGGCATCAAGTTTTGGCACGTCACCTAAGCCCGTGTGATTTTTTTTCTCCCTTGAAGTCTCTCACAGTGAGAACCACAGAAGGCCTTTCCAAGATCAGTGCATCTACCCTCCACTAGACTCGTGTCAATCTATGTATCATACATATGATTTTACCATCAAATTCGAAAGACTTCATTGAATTCACGACATTTTTCTAACCAAAAAAACCAGCCGTTGTTGGGTTCAATAGGCCATCCCAAGCCAAGCATCTACAATTACCAGCACCAAGTGGTAAAAGCCCAAGTCCACAGCGATCTGGTACAAGTCCTCCCAGCCAACAGGATAAGAAGTGGCAGCCATGGACAATGGCTAAGGATAGACACAACTTGTGTTAACAGGCTATACCTTATCATGGTCATGGTGAAGACAGAATCTTTACCATAGTAATCTGTCGAAACACTGGTATTTTAGGTACCCTAAGTCATAGCTGGTTCGTTCATGGAGGTTTACTTCCCCATGGTAATCATAGGTTTTGGCCCACATCTTTAACCGGATCTTGGGTGAAAGCCACTTGCTCGATTAAAGGCATTTACCCTCTGGTAATTTGTTACATAGCTATGGAACATCACCATTTAGTTCGTGGATTTTCCCATGAAAAATGGTGATTTTCCCATGACAAATAGTGATTTTCCCATGAAACATGGTGATTTTCCCTAGTTTTTTGTACGTTTACCAGAGGGTATAGCGGCTATGATAGTCAGCCATCCCAGCTCTTGGATGGTCGATCCGTGCAGGACTTAGCTTGGCAGTAGAAACCAAGTAGAAGTGAGGGACATCCCCATGAAAACAAATCTCTATAATATATATATATGTATATAATTAATTATATATGTATGTATAATTAATTATATACTATATATATATATACACTATATATATATAATCATATATACATGTATTTACAGATATTTACAGAAAAACACATTGTCCCCTTGAGACGGAATCAAAAAATGTTGGGTCATGTCTACAATGTAAAGGTCTTACCTTTACGTTCAACTAGTTTTGCTACAACTCATTCCGTTTTGGAGCACCTAACTGCTGGACCACCTGATTATCCAAGTAACAACTGGTAGGGGAACTCTTATTGAACATAAATTCCATTCATGTAATAGTCACATAATTCTGTATCCCCTCGAAACAGCATGCACACACTTTGTCTGCAAACGTCGAATACCCATAAAATGGCATTGTTTTGCCAGTTTCACCATGACATTCTGATACCCTTTTCAAATAAGACCCATTAATGTGGTTGTGGATGCATCAATACCCTCCTAGTCTGGTTAACATCAAAATAGATGCTCAATTGCCGTCTATCTATCTATATATATATACATAATCATATATACACAATATAGTCAGTCCTCTCTCCATGTTTGAATCTGTCTTGCTTTCCTCCCCAGTACCAGAAGTGCCTGCAGCTTCAGCAATGACTCGTCAAGCTTCTTCCTGGTGGGAGCATGGACAAGCCCTGTTGTTTGAAAGCCACCAACACCGACACGGGAATTTTACCGCACCCTGCTGGTTTCAAGCGAAACTTGGAAACAAATCACAGAAGCACGACATATTTCTTGAAAATTAAACCACCTGTTTCTTGAACACGTTCCTTTATCGGGAAATAAAGGGATAATTTAGACATTCCAAGAATGTCAAAATAGTGAGGGTTTATCATCTAATGGTAAACAAAATGTCAACTGCGGCAGTAACATAGGAGCTTGAAGGAATCAACACCAGCAAAGATACAGAATTGACAAAACAAAGTTCCAAAACCACTAGCCATGGAACTTTCTGAACTTGACATTTGTTTTACTCTACATATGAGCCATGGTCAATACTCACAAAAAATGGTTTTTCTGGTCATCCCATCCATTTTTTAAGGATCCAAAAATCATGGTTATGAATAAATCCCATTAAATCACCATTGGATGACTAGCCCCGTTTTTAATGGTTATGAAAACCATCCCTATTAATAGGTGCTTATAATAATGGTTATTATAAATCCCTATGAGCTATTACTAACCCCTATGGGATTTATAAAAAATAACCTATTAATTGGATGACTAGCCCCTATTGACCACAGCTCTAATATGTTCTACGAGTTTATCAATGTGACTGGATCAGGTCGCACAGCATCCTGCCACGATCTTGGCCCATCCAAATGTTCGTAATAGCAATGCATGGCCACACAGCAACATGGAGAACAGTGGCTTTTGGAATACCCGGCCTGGTAAACTAACATAACTATGGAAAATCACCATTCTTAATGGGAAAATCCACTATAAATGGCCATTTTCAATAGCTATGTTAAATTACCAGAGGGTACTGCTCATGGTTTTTTTTGGTGTTTCAACCACTGAATACTCGTGGGAAATGAACATCAACGAAACACGACGTTTCACAAGACGTGGCTCCTGGAGGTGCGCAATACTCAACAGTGCGCTCATCAAGTATTTCATCTGCTAATCAACAAAGCAAACATGAACACGTACCAAACATATCGTATCATATCATAATATCCAAAATCCAAAAAATAATGTAAGCTTATACCTTGAGCCAATCCACATGTACTCTTGGGAAAACTTCCAGAGGATGTCTCAACGTGTTGCTTTTTTGGTGTTCAAAGGGAAGTAACACCAATTAGAACTTGAGATTCTGGCCACAAATGCACGACTGCATAAACTTGAATCCCTGATGCACAATTGCTGAGGCTGGTATGAAACATTAGGCTGCAATGCCAACCAGCTTTTCTTGCTACGGAAACGCCATGGTTTTCACCATCTATCATCTGGTCTTCAGTCAAAGCTGTCTAAGCAGGGATGGTTGGAAGTATACCCGGACCTTTCATGTGGTACCCTCTGGTAAACTAACATAAATGTGGAAAATCACCATTTTCAATGGGTAAATCCACTGTAAATCACCATTTTCAATAGCGAACTGTTAGTCATTACCAGAGGGTACTTGTTTCAGCATGACCTACTGTCAGAGACTTACTGTCAGAGACTTACTGTCAGCAACAACAAAGACATCCAATGACTTTTCAGCCCAGCACTGGCCATCTCCAGTCAAGTGATCTTCCAGTCTTCCATCTGCTAGTTTTTCACATAGCTATGGAACATCAGCATGTTTGAATTCGATGAAATCCCTGAGCTAAATGGGCCATGGCTTCCATATCTATCTCAAATTACAAGAGGGTGTGTTTCCCATTCAGCGGATTATAACTAAAATTCCATGAACCCCCATGAAACGTCCAAAAAAAATCCCCAATGAACTCCCCAACGATGATTATCCATTCAAAATTCCCACATCCCTGGCGCCAAAATCACCGCCCGTTGGTCCTCTCTTCCTTGGCCCGGGATCGCCAGCGTTCCGAAACGTGCCTGGCGTCCCGGATCTGGAGGCTTCAACGATGTGCTAACCCAAGGTATGTGAGGTGATGATACAATGGGTTTATCACATTGTAAATGTGTGGTCTTATGTGTGTATAAATATGTATATATATATATATACAGTACATATATATATATACATATATAATCATATATACATATATACATATATACATACAGTATATATATATATACACAGTGTATATACATATAATCAATATAATATATGTACATGATAGATTATAATAGATTATAAATATGTGACCAACAAGTGACGAAAAAAGTGCCTTGCCGAAAAAAAGCTTGGCCATCCCGGTCACCAGCTAGTGGCGACGTCGGCGACCGTCGTCCCAGCAATGGAAACAGCCAGTGCTTGTAGGCATGGCAACCAAAAAACATGTACCCCCTGGTAAACATACAAAAAACTATGGAGAATCACCCTTTTTAATGGGAAACCCAACAATAAATGGCCATTTTCAATTTTTGGAAATGTTTGCAGGAGGAATTGGGGGCTGGTCTTTTGCATCCAAGCTCATTCAGCAAGAAACCGGCATGCCTATCCAAACCATCAGTGTGGAACATGATGTCAGAGCCGCTGCAAACTTTGCAGCCACCCACCGTGTACAGATGATTTCAGGAAAAGCCCAGATTAGCACAGATTTGTTTGCATCCGGCCTTGACACCATCATTTGTGCAGACATCCGTGATCCCGAATGGCAGGTGCCAGTCTCCTACTGGAGACCTGATGTCCTTGTCATGAGTCCTCCGTGTCCTCCATGGTCGAAGGCAGGTGCTGAACAAGGTTTAGGAGATGAACGTGGCCTCCTGTTTTCTGAAGCCATAGGTATTGCAAAAATGCTCCGTCCTAAGGTTTTAGTGATTGAGCAAGTAGCGGGGTTTCTCATTCACAAGGATGCCAAGTACATCATGAATCAGATCCAAGCAGCTGGATATCGCCTCCACTGGACCAGAACAGTAGATGCATCCGAACAGTGTGCCTCAACCAGATTCCGATGGCTCTGCATTGCACTTCTCATGCACGACCCACATGTTCGCCCAGTGTCATTTCAACCATGGCAGAAAAGGGATCAAGTGACACCGCAGTCAGTTGGTAGCATCATTGCATGGTCTCAAGAGATGTTGAATGATCTCCAGGTGACAGGAGAAGCACTCAAGCTGGCCAAGCAACCACACATGTTGCCACAGTCCATGAAGTCAAGCTGCACCCAGGATGTCCTTTCCATGCGTTGTTACACAGGAGACACCAAGCTGCCCACCTTCATGGCTCAGTACGGTAGGCAGCACTGCCTGGCATCCGACAGCCTGGCAACCAAGGGATATATGGGGCATTTTCACCGCCCAAACTGCATGCCACCCAGGTATTGGCACCCAATTGAAGTAGGCCTACATCATGTGATGCCTGCAGGACTGGTTTTGCCCTCAGACAAAGAACAGGCATGGCTGTACACAGGTAACATGATCACGCCAGCACATGCGATGCTCGCACTTGCCAACGCCATCAACTGCATTGCACAGAGATACACAAGCCTGAATGTACAGAATCTGATTGACAAAATTTGGGAAGAACGCCTCACCGCCTCCAATTCGGCAGTGCAATTTTGGGGGAAAGTCAATACCATTGCGTCAGCACATGAAGACAAGTTTGACCATGATTACATGCACCACTGTACAGATTTGTTTTGCCAGGCCGATAGGTATGACTTTCCAAGCGAACAAATTTGGCACCCACAGCATGGTTTCCAATCACTCATGACACATGATCACGTCTCTCAATTGACACAGCTGGATAAGGAATCACAGACTGAGGCCACGCAAGAATTCCATCCAGTACAATCCGCATGCCTGGATACACAAGATGGACGACATACGTTTTGGATCACTGCACATTATCCCACACATGAGATCGCAGCCATTTGGGGAGAACGGTTTGAAGCCCAAGCACTGGCCAATGATGAAATGGAACGAACAGGCCATGCAGTTAGAGTTGCATTCGATCCAGCCAATGTTGTCTTGCATGATACCACAACATACCCAGTTGCATATGTTGAAGATGGAGTGCTCACACTGTACAAAGCCGATAAAGGTCAAGATCTCAACAGCCAGATTGCAGCTTGGTTTCAGAGTGATTCGGTCCATGACCAGTTTGGACCACTTACCAAGAATCAGACAGTGCAACCGGATATTTTGCTTTTTCCTCACGAGATGAACCACTCCAGAATGACGCAGCCAGCAACTTTCAGTTTAGCAGCACTGAAACTGTTGACACATGCGCATTGCCATTGGGACCCAACTGATTGTTCATTTCACATGACAGGAGATGGTGATAGGACTCAAGCCCAAACTGCCATGGAATTTTGGACGTCACTTCTTTCTCAACAAGAACTGCAAATGCTTGGATTGATGGTTTCAGGGGAATTCACAAAAACAGGTTTCCATTGCCAGTTTTCCGCAAGCACTACATCATGCCCACTGCCACCACAAGGGTTTTGGAATCTCCTATCAGTACGTGCGTCCAGAAAGATTCTAGATGAACTTTCTCACGACGAAGGCATGCCAGTCACCATCAAATGGCTTTCACGACCACTGTGGAAAGGAAAGCTGGCACCAAATGTCACCATGAACCAATTGGAAGGTATTCTAGAAGCCACCATGATGCCAGCGCTTTGCCCAGCTATGCCTAGAATGATCCACAACGGAAAGAGAGCCACAGGACCACTCCAGGTGGGAGAAGTGAAGATCTCAGCACACGCAGAGTCCATCCTCATCCACATTGGGCATTCACTTGTAGGTGGGGGTAAGAAACATACGAGAACACAAATCAAGAATGCCATTGCATCCACATTGCTGGAAAATGGTTTTGACCTGAAATGGGTAACATCCGCGGTCGAAGATGTACTTACCAAAGCAGGATCCACGCAAGCCATGTATGCAGCTCAGATGCCAGGGGGGACCAACCGATTTGAGAAAGTGATCCAACTCATCAAAGACTGCCAAATCGACATCCCCAGTGAAAAACTCAAGCAAGCAGCCAAGCAGACAGCACACAACATCAGCACCAAACAGCGCAAGATGCAGCCTGTTGCACCAGATCCGACACAGTACCGTATGGTCCCAGGATATTTGCTCAACACAGATGGCACTGCAGCACAACAGATCAATCAATTGACATCGTCAGCATGCGGAGTCATCCTCATGTCTCACCAAGATGCCATGCCATGGTTACGGGAAGGTAAGACCATAAGCAGGGACGAACTTGCCATGTTTGTGCTTGGTAGCCCAGTTGAGAGCCAGCAATTGCATGTACAGGTACTGCACCTCCCCTGTCGAGATGCCCAAGATCGCCAGGTAATCCTGTCAGGCTCACTTGTTCAGTTGGGTGCGAAGCCGGTCAGTCCTCAGGAAGATAAAAGCAAAAAAGTCGACCTGCAAGATTGCCATGTGGTATCCATGACACTTTGGAAGAGCGACTTCCCGGAGGACGAGTGGGCCAAGCTCATCTCGCACACTTTTGCCACACTCAAAAACATGTTGGGTGAACACGGAACCAAAGAGCATGTCACAGCAATGTGGGGCAGGAGCTTGAGAGGGACACACGGCCCATCCAATGAAGCATCAGCCAAGTCCATTCAGGTTCACGCCACTGTCACAAAAGATACTTTGATTCCCATGTTAGTGAAGTCTGGATTCAACAAGATCTTCATCAATCCAAAGTCTGACTCAGGACGCCCACAAGAACAGTTTCGTGTACTATGGATTCAAGGGGACTTGGCGCATGTGACAGCCACAGCCGCCAGCACAGAAAACTGCTGCGGACTCATCAGAGGCAAACGGTCATATGGGCTCCGCTACACACAGGACGGATTCAAGCTGGCATGGACAAACCTCCACCCAGGTGAAGAGGTTCCAGAGCAGTTAGGAGGAGCACACACATTCAAGCTTGAGCCATTGCCGTTTGGAGTGACCCAACAAAGCCTTCATGAATGGGCCCTGTTGTATAAATGGAAGATCCGTGCAATCAAAGCCCTAGGTCCCCGCACCTGGTTGATCACAAGTGCCGACCAACCACCCGAGCAACTCCTCCAATTTAATGGCCACCCGTTGATTGCCAGGTACATTCCCCCGAAAACACAGGCGCCAGCCCAATCGATCATCGCGGGGCCGCGGCCTCGAAAAGGCTCAGGTAAGGGGAAGCAAACTACCACACCAGAGGGAACCCTCAGCCAAGATCCATGGGCAACATATCTAGCCCGCAACAGCCAAGGATCTCATCCAGCGACACAGCCACCAAGGTCCAATGAAGGACCCATCGAAGCCAAGTTTAAGCAGCAGGACGCAAAGATTCAACAGCTGGAAGCAGTTTGCAGCCACACAGCAACAATGCCAGCAACAAACCGACATGCAGTTCCAGCAAGTACAGCAGCAGATCACGGATACCAACCACCTGTTTGCCAAGACATTAGAACGCACCAAGGCTGACATCCAAAAATCGGTGGATCAAGCAATGCAGGTGCAATCCAATCAGCTCAACCAGAACTTAGCCGAGATCAAAGCGCTTTTGATGAAGCCATCAAAGCGCGAAAGAGAAGGTGAGCCTGAAGACATGCACCAGGACTGACTTGGTCCTGCCATAGCCGCCAAGCCGCCCAGGGGTTGGGAAGGGCCACATCCCTTCCGAATTTTTTCAAGGGTTTACGCATCCGCAGCCTTGCCAGCCAACCACTGCCGAAGTACAGAGGTCCAGCAGGTGAGTATGATAAGATGTAAAATCTTGCAAGCCGAGGCCAGCCATCCGTTGCGGCCAAACCAGCCATTCAAATCAGGCCGGTTCAAATTACAAGTGACCATGGGGATTAGGAGTCCTTGTCATAATTCCATAGGTTGCCAGCCAGAGCCAAGCAGCCGCCATGAGCTTCACACAACCTACGGTCTGGCCGTCAGAAACGTCGACCTTGACAGTGGGAAGTGTTTGGCTTCTCAATCCATGCATCCGATACAGCGCCATAGCAGGCATTTTGCCTTTGTACAGTATTTCCAAGAATATCCTAGCGCCAGTAGTTCAACAGCCTGCTTTTCCCCTTACCATGGTATAAGAGTAGGGGAAGCCAAAAATCCCGGTCCAAGGGTAACCATGGGAATAATTAACCCCACTGCCATGACAAATAAAAAACAAGAATTTGAGCAACTTGCTCAATCTTTAGATGTCATGTTGTTTTCAGAGACCAGTGCCACAGTGCAGACGCAACGCACCCTGACAAGCCAATTCAGACAGCTTGGGTACACCATGTTGTGGTCCGATCCTGTCCCGCCGCAGCGGCAAAGAGTTGATTTTCAACCTAGCGAAAGAGGGCGTGCTGGAGGTACGGCAATAGCCAGCCGGTACCCAGCCAGGGCCTCCAGGAACCCATCCAGCCCGGACTGGATCTACACCACTAGGCTCCAGCACTCCATAATCAGATTCGGGGCTGTACATATTCAGTTCTTTGTTATCTATGGCCTCACACGATCAATACCCCAAGCCGTAGAACAGACAGAAGCAATCCTTGCGGAAGCTATCACCCGATCCAAACAATTAAACCTACCTTGTATTTTTGCAGGTGATTTCAATATGCCCATCCAAGAATCGGAATCGTGCCAACCACTTTTCGAGGAGGGATACCAACATCTTGAATACTTGCATACTGTCCTACATGGCCAGCCCATGGCAAAAACCTGTTATGAAGCCACCATCCCCGATAGTGCCCTCATAAGCCCATGCCTGGTCCCGTATTTAAAATCTATCAGTGTAAACAAAGATAAGCTTTTTGACTGCCATGACCCAGTCTTTTTGTCCTTTGATTTACCTGGTTGCCAGCTGTTCCAGCACCGCTTGCGCACACCAAAACCCTGGTCGCAGTTGCCAGTTGACCCAATCAACATGCACCAGCTGGTAGAGCAGTCTGGATGGCCCCAATGTAACACCATTCAAGAATGGTGCCGTACAGCCGAAAAATTGGTGGACTGCACCATCCAAAAGCAGCATAGATGCGACCCAGAAAAACACCCCATGAATAGAGTACCAAAGGCGTTCCAAGGTAGGGGTAATAATCCTATACCCAAAAAAATTCCCCTCCAATCTCAGGTTAGACGTGGGAGACAAGGAGATTATGAACCACCGGGTGAAGTTTTTGCGATCCGAACCAAAAGAAAAGTAGTCCAGATCCGACGCATTCAATCACTCAGGAGGCAACTCCAAAAAAACCCCATGTCACTACATAGCACACCGCAGAGAAGACAACAACTACAATTGGAATGGAATGCCATTGCGTATAACAGATGCTTTTATCCCTCCTTTGCCCACTGGGCCCAAAACACGCCTGAAATTGGGCCCCTGCCAGCCCAGGTACCACAGATCGAATTGCTGCTAACAATGGAACAGCTCCTTCAGCATGAAGTAGATGCTAAGGTTAGACAAGATGCCAGCACTCGTGCCAAGCTGATACAATGGAACAACCAGCAAGACCACACCGGACACAGGTCCAAGGCTTTTGCCACAGCCAGAGGGTTGAAAAAACCTTGTTTACACACAGTTGCCGAGCAGTTGCAAGAACAGGGTTTGATCACACACACCCATACAGAAGACAACAATACCATAGTGGAACTTGCTGTCTGGCAAGGACACCGTTTTGACATCGCCTTTCCGGTGCAACTGGACCAACTCAGCTGCACACTGATTGATACCAATGAGCACTACATCACAGTAAGGATCCCAGCAGGGACACCACAGCCAGACGGAGAGCGTACCGTCACACAGTTGAAACACTACACCCAGATTGGGGATGTATTTCAACAACTCAACCAATACTGGATACCTTTCTGGCAACGCGAACCAGCACAGGATGCGATGACTGAAACAGACATCGCTGACTTCGACCAGCTGGTTGCCGCACTGCCTAATGACATCCCTGACCTACAAATTGATACCCAAAATGTAGACCTTTGGATGTACATTATCAAAACTACCAAAAGCCACTCAGCACCAGGTACAGATGGAATCCATGCCAGCGACCTGCAAATGCTCCCAAAAGCAGCCATAAGTGACCTGGTGCAAATTATTAATGATCATCCACTAGTCCTCCCTCATAACCTAATGTGCGGCCGCACAATCCCCCTTGCCAAAAAGTTCGGCCTTTGCCAGGCCTCCGAAACTAGACCTATCACCATCCTACCACAAATTTATAGAATCTGGGCCAGGTTGGTCACGCACCAAGCAATTGCCCACCTATCACAATGGATACCTCCCCAGGTAACCGGCTTCCTGAAAGGCCGCGGGGCCTATGAGGCGGCATATGACACGCAGCAATGGCTGGAGCAGCTCGCCCACCAAAAGACCAGCCGGGCAGGCGCCACCTTAGACCTTGTTAAATGTTTTAATCTCATTCGAAGAAAATTTGCCAGCCGTGCCCTCCGAGCAATCGGCTGCCCTGACCAAATTGTACTCAAATGGGAAGAAACTACTAAGGGCCTTAATAGGTACTGGGAAATCCAAGGGGAAGTTAGTGATAAAATCACCTCCACCACAGGATGCGCAGAAGGAGACCCCATCTCCGTAGTTGTCATGATTGCCATCGCAGCACTCTGGATATTCCAAACACCACATACAGCCAATGGAGTGCGCATTAGCGCCTTTGCAGACAACTGGAGCTGGGCATGCACTGATCATGCCAGACATGCACCCATAGCCAAAGCAACCTTAGAAATCTGTCGACAGGCAAAGCTGCAAGTTGACCTGAAGAAGACCTGGATCTGGGCATCCGACCCGATCGCAGAAACTGAAATTCAAACAGCAGCAGCAACACTTCATCCTGACCAGGCTGCCCCAGCGAAGGTCCACACAGCAAAGGACCTAGGACTACAAATGCAATATACAGGGTCGGCGAAACTCGGCAATCTCCACACCAGAATGGAAGAAGGCAAGGCCCGCCTCCAGAGGATCAAACACCAACAATGGCCTCTGGAGGTGAAGGCACACGTCATCAAGGCCTCAGTGTATCCTGCGATGTTTCATGGAGCGGAAATAACACCCATAGGCCAAGAGCATCTGACCAAAATCAGGCACCTGGTTGCCGAGTCCTTGTTGAACACGTCCTCTAGATGCATGTCGCCAGCTATTTTGCTCATGTTTTCACAACACATGCTACTGGATCCAGGCCTGCATGTCATCATCCAGTCCATGAAGAAAGCACGCCAATGGCTGGTTCGAGCCAGCGAAGCGGAACGCCTTGCCTTCCTAACAACAGCCTCCAGGCACAGAGCCATCATAGGCACCACTAAGGGGCCAGCAGGCACCCTGAAAAGTAATATCCTCCAACTGGGTTGGGCAATTACAAAGGAAGGGGATATTCAAGTCGCCAAGCACCTAACACTCAACATCTTACAATCCACCATTCAAGACCTAACCTATTGGGCCCAACAAGCATGGAATGAAACAGCAGTCAAAATACATACCAAACGATTTACCTTGTACTCATATCCAGAAGCGGATGTGCCCGCGACAGTACAGGTTATCAAAAGGTTCCCAACAGCCGATCAGAGAAAACTCCTGCATGAAATAGGACAAGCTTTCCAGACGGAGCATCAAAAAGCCAAGTATGATGGTACCTGTGACGGTACCTGCCCTCTATGCCAAGAACCAGACTCTAAGGAGCACAGGTTTTTGCACTGCCCATCCATGCAGGAGATCAGAGCAGAACATGCAGCAGCAGTTGCACTCCTTCAGGAAGAATGCCCAGGCTGGATTGACTGGCCGGTGTTATACAAACATGAAATGCATGATTTTATCCATGCCTTAAGGCACAGCCTTCCGGAGGCAGTCATGCCGGCACAGGCGTGCCAACAGCTGGCCCAGATGAACCATGCATCCGGCCCTTACCTGTACTCCGACGGGAGCTGCAGGTACCCAGCCGCGACAGAAACCAGGTTTGCAGCATATGCCCTGATCGCAGATGTGGCCCCTGACGATCAGTGTAGACAAGCACAAGCAATGCGATTTCTAACAACCCAAGAGCACCCAGACACACTCACACCACTGGCACATGGCCGCCTGCCAGATAAACAAACCATCCATCGTGCGGAACTCATGATCATAGTATTGGCTACCGAGACACTTCCTGCATTCCAGCTCTACACCGACAGTTCGGTGGCAAAAAGTGCGTTTGAAAAAGCTACAATGGCTTCCTCCACCCAATCCTTTATAGATAATCCACACTATGATCTCATGTGCAGAATCTTTGTTGCCAAAAAACAGGGCCACAAGGTCCACAAAATTAAGGCGCACAGGGAGCTGCAAAAGCTCACAGATCTTTTAGATATCTATCATGGCTTAGGAAACCAAAAAGCGGATAGCCAAGCCGCACATGCCCTGAATACATCCATGCCGGAGATCCTGTCCGAACTGGAAGCATACCATGTAAGTGTCCACCAGGACCAAACCCACCTGAGTCAAGTTTTCAACTATATCCTTGCGTTGCAGAATGCGAGAGCCCGAGCACAAGCAGTAACCAAGGCATATATGCCCACAGAAGAAGTCCAGAATGATCCTGTAAGTTTTTTGGGAGCATGGACTGCAGATGAACTTTGGTCTCCGCCGAGACGCCAACTACAAAACCAGGGGCTCAGAGATTGCGCCTTTGGGCTTCAAGTCGCATGGGCATGTCAGCAATGGTTGCTCACGTGCAAATGGCCCACAACATACGTGGGCCCCCAAAACAAAGTGGTAGGTATTTCTTGGATCGAGGTGGCACTGGCCATCATGAAACACTTGCGTGCATACCTCCCGGTGAAACGCCAAAACACTGACGGGGACACCTACGTCATCTTCATCACCAACTATGCACAGGCGCGCGCGCATCAGGTAACCATGGTTGAGCAGAGCGAAACGGCTTGTGGCCTGGTCAAACAGGTCCTTGATCTTATTCCAGAAAGACTGACTCCTGCGGTACCTTACGGCCAAGTCAGATCCATGTACATGTTAGGTGATACAGGATTTCGCAGTGGTTTTCAACTTCGCCCGGAGTTTGAGGGACAACGGGAAGTGGCACTGCAAGCGCAGTGGTACCTTCAGAACGGGAAAGCGTTACCCAGGCTTTTTGAACAAGACTGCAGACAATGGGAATGTGACCAAAAGAATGCGGGTATGACCTGGGATAAACGCATGCAGGTGACGAAACAACGGCAGAAGCTGGTCGCGGACGTTCGAGGCGCTTAGTTCCAACCCCCTGAACACCAGGTGTGGTCAAACCGTCGAGGCAGGGTCCCCTTTTTGTCTAAGACCGGGGGGGGCCCGGAAACAAAGTGAAAAGGCCATTTTCAATAGCTATGTTAGTTTACCCGAGAGGGTAAACATATGGGAGAACTGCAGGAAACAAGAACAACTGCAACAGCTCCAATGAATGGGGTTTATTTTCTCGGGGATTGGCATTATCCGATCCTGATGTGTATCCAAGATATGAACCAGCAGCAACAACCATGAACACAAGGACGGTAATCTCTACAAAGAAAAATCATGACTCCTATAAGCAGCATAAGTTTCAAGAGTTCAGGTGATATTTTGAGTAAAATCCCTGGATCAAGCGGGGTCACTTCATGACAGATTTTCATCCCATATGGGAGTTTCCTGAAATAGGACTACCTCTAATTATCCAAATATATAGACCATCAATAAAAAAACAGTTGGATACCTTTGGGGGTTTCCTAAATGTGGCTACCACCAAATCATCAATGTTATTGGCGGATTTTCCATTATAAACCATCCTGCAATTACATAGATGGAATTAATAAACCAAGAAAGTTCCATGTTAATTTGCGAACAAAATAATAAATAAATAAAGTAGGGTATACCGGTATACCCCATTTTAAGAAAGCCAAAACCAGCCAACTACCCGCGCCCAACATGGCAGGTAGACACGTCCAGGATCAACAAGTCCAACTCCCGTTGCAAGGGTAGCCTTGAACGCGCAGCGTGGGTCATAGTGCTGGGAAACTAGGGGATTTCACCAAGACACCAGGGATTTAGAATTGATTTTAGGATGTTCATGTTAGATAAGGTATATAAATGTGTTTCTAAATGTTTCCAATTAGAGTATATACAACTGTTTGGTTTATGGTAGATTCATCGAACTAGTCAATCGGGTTGTAATGTGTGATAGACATAAACACAACTGAGATTGTCTGGTTATATCCGGTTGGTGATGGAGCCACCCCATTTAATATCATGTGATAGTCAATTCAAATACGCATGCCTTTTTGAAAAACAGAACACTTATATAAAAGACAGCGTATCAATTTATATAAGACAAAGTATCTATTGGGAAGCATTGAACACATTAAAGGAATCACTAGCAAAAACCATCCAACACACATCTTTGTTGGTGTTTTGAGAACTCAAAAATTCATGGGACCTGCAAACCGCAGCCCAGGGTCAACTGAAGTGATGGAGGAACCGGGGGATCCCCGAAATCACCATCAACCAGGCTGCATTTCAACCAAAGGTCATCCAAAGGTATCCGGTTGTTAATCTGGTTGGTGGTTGAGCCCTACCCCTCTGAAAAATGATGGACTTCGTCAGTTGGGATGATGATTCTTCCCAATATGATGGGAAAGTCATAAAATCCACATGTTCCAGTCACCACCAATCAGATCAATCAGTTAATCATCATTTCCCCACGAAAATATAGCAATTCTATGCAATTCTGGTGGTTTTTGAATGAATTCCCTGTGAATCACCGCTGGATTTTGACGACCTTTTTTCGGAATGTCAACCGGTTGTACTCCACCGGCTCCACCGCTGACTCTCCTTCTCCCTCCCGGAAAGCGCCAGCTATGGAGGTGTCCTGAAAAATTTTGGGACCCCTACATCATCCAAGTTAATCATGTCATATTTATGTCATATTTACAACCATCGGAGTATGGGATGGTTTAGGGGATCTCACCATTTTTAGGGAACCACAACACCATCATCTTGGCGGAAAATCATGGAAAATCCATAGCTCGAAAGCTAAATCCGGCTGAGTTTCCCTGCTGCACCCGTGCTGCCACGTCCAATTGCGCCTGCCAGGCGATAGAACTTGTTTATTGACGTTGCTGATGGTGTATCCTCTGAAACATGGGCCGTTTAAAGATGATGTATGAAAAATGATGATGTTCCATTGCCATCTACTACCAAAGTGTAATTCCTCACGGGAGAGGACGGCGACGACCGATTATATAAATATTCCTTGCTCGAGCAACATTCGGCAGCATCAACATCCGGGAGTCTTAGAGGATGACCAAATCACATTCCCCCACGAAAAAAAGACTCTGGTACCATCTGGTAGCCTGGTTAACCGGCAACAAACATCATCAGAATGTTCATCAACTTATAGAGGAATGTTCATCAACCTGAATTTGCGCTGATTGCTATTGACCATACCCATCCATACTCAACCATTACGGATAGCATTCAGCGTGGCAAGTTCGTCTTTCCCCGCTGATTCCCTGTGAGGTCTCTGAGTTTTCCCACGCTCAGCCGCTCGAGCAAGTCCTGCATGTGTGCTATGTCTGGACCCCCTTGGAGGTCCAGATATTTGATTGGTTTATTACTCTCGAGATTCACAAAAAAAACAATCCTGTAAACTAGCATAAACTACTGTAGCATAAACTAGCATAAAAGTGAACAACTCACCAGTGGATCATCACTTTCCTAGGGAAAGGATGGGTCTTCCACAATCTTCCACATCAATCAACCATCTTCCCCAAAAATTCATGGAACGGATGAAGATCACCCCTTAAGATCGGCTTTTCCCCTCGGCTGCCCATCCTTGCTGCCAGCCCTTCGAGCGGCCTGACAGGAGAAGCGATAGGAAACAAAAAACGTGGGATGGTGGCGAAATCCTGCACCAAAAGGATGGTTGAAAGCCTAGAAATCATGGGATAAAGATGGATAAAGCACTTATATAACTGGTGCATGATTTCGCAACCATCCACAGTATGATGAATAACAACGATGACCATCATCACAATCCTCACTCATCCTTACAATCCTCACAATGCTCTGATAAGTCTGATATTGATGATTGAAAAACGAGAACCACATAAGAACTTGTTTTTCATTCTTACTATTGTCATTATCAAAGTCAGTTTTTCACATGTTCCGTGTTGCCTTGATGATTCTGCAGAACTGATTCCCCGGTTTTGCTGAAAAATATCCTCCAAATGCTTTGTAGATAATTTGTGGTCAATATCCTGAGTATTTCACCCAGAACATCAAAGACTATCTCGGAATCTACAATCCTTTTTTGATTAATTCGCCACCTTGGTCTATTCTTAGCTCCTCATATCTGGATGATTTACAATAAATCCCCAACATGAAGTGTTGGGCCACAAAAATTGGTGGTTTTACTATTGACCATCGTTTATAAGTAAGGCTCGGTTGCTTGAGGGTGCAACTGCGCGACAAGTTTTCCAGAAATTGTCAATTCTTGATGTGCCGCTGATGTTGATGAAGTCGGGATATGGCTTGATAATTCATATGCCGCTTCCACTGTCACAACTAATCTAATATAATAATATCATATACTCAAACTAGGAAAACTGGGAATATCTAATGGATGATATAACAATTCTATATCGTACTATATATCATATAATGCCAGATTCAAATCAAACTGGGCAAAGTCCCAGGATCCTGACCAAAGCTCGCTATGGGTATACCATGGTATACCCATACTCCATTCATATCCAATTAATCCCCTTTCAATATCATTAAAACATAGAAAATACCCCAGGTCCATTGATATCCCATCTATTATCCCGCTTTTATCCCAATTAAATCAATATGTCTGCAGCTTCCGGACCAAAGCTCCCCCTTGTTTTCCCCTCATTCCAAGCCAAAGTCGACCGCCCACTGCGCCAGCTGTGAGCGGTTGATCACAGCCTCAACCCGGGGACCCAACGACACACCAAGCAGCAGACATTGGCATGTTCACCAAATATGGGTGGGTATGGGATACCTATCCTCCAATTTTTATGGGATACCAACCTTTTTTTTACGTAGAATCAGGGGATATGAATGGATTTACCCTCCAGAAAAATCAAACAAGGTGAGCTGGAAAATCCTCCAAAAAGACCTGGAACATCGGACCCTGGAGGTGTTGGTCAAATCGGTGATCTGGGTCTGGCGTTTCGTGTTTTTCATCAAACAGAATCTAACATGGCAATAGATCATCCCAATGTCATATATATATATATGTACATAAGATATGAAGGATATGTAATAAGTATGTAAGATGATAAATTGCAATGGATACTTCCACAATCCATCCATTTAGTCTGACAAGCATCGATATTAAATGCGTTTACTGTAATCCGTATATCAAATCATATCGGTTGACGTGCTAAACCCAAACATGATTAATACTGTCAAACTGTTTCTGCATGTGCCAGGTCACAACCAAGTAAACAAATAATAGTCATTGTGGATTCTAATCTACCTAAAACAATTCTATAACGAAGATTAATACTAGTATGCTTGAGTTGACATTGTAACTGGGTAACAACTGGATTATAAACCCATTAATTTAGTCCCTTGCGAAATCATCCCACGGTTGTACTACAGTTTATATATGTTTATATAATCCCGTGATAGAACGGTACTACAATCCAGCATAATCCAGCTATATATGTTTTACAAGCCACCATATAAACTGGAAACTCCACCACCTTCACATCATCCAACTGTCGAAAAGCCAATGGTTGTTGCATGGTTTTTCCATGGGTTTTTCCATGGTTTTCCTAGGGCCCAGCAGCTATGGATTTCCCACCATCAGCCACCATCAGCCACCCAGCTGCGTTCCCCACCCCGCCACAGAGTTGCACCACCACCGAGCGCATGCCCTGTAACGCCTCGGACGTCTCCGTCACCGCAGCGATGGCCTCGGAGACTCAGCTGGCCACGGGACCCCGTCACCGGCAAAACGTGACCGATGTGTGCCTCGTAGATTTTGGGTATGGCGAAATAACTAGTGATGTTTTTTTGCGTCAGTTGATGATATTTGATGATAGATATGATAGATATGATAGATATGATAGATATGATATGATAGATATGATAGATATGATAGTTGTACACTGGATCGGAAACAGATCCATTTTGGTATCGAATCGCATATGTAGCATCACTTGAAGTGAAGTCAACCAATGAGGTCTATTGGTATAAGCCAGTTGATAATCAATTCATAGACTCCATCGTCTATCTATGATCTATGTATCGTCAGATGCGCAATGCCCCCTTATTGACACGAGTATCACATTTTAGTGGCTGGTGAATAGGGGTTCCCTGTGTAATCATGTGTACTCCCTATACAACTACATGTAGTATAACCACCAAAATGATCTACTAACTTGTCTTCATAATCTCAGATAGCCTCAGAAGAAATGCTGCTTCGGCTAATATATTTTCAGGTGTAGAAAGTGATGTGTTACCCAAGGTTTCCCAAGTCTTACCCTCTGGTAATTTGTTACACTATTGAAAATGGTGATTTTGAGTTCGTGGGTTTTCCCATTGAAAATGGTGATTTTCCATAGTTACTGTATGTAAACGTTTACCAGAGGGTATGTTTGCTACAAACCAACCAGTTCGTTAAACCAGTTCGCATCCCCTGCCGGCCACGGCAAAAACGAGCGACTGCACCACATGCAGGCTCCACCAACAAGCGGTGATCGTCTGCCAGCCTCCGGATAGGATGAGATTGTGGTACGTTCCCTAGATAGCAGCATAGTTTAGTAATAATATGATTAAGGCTTCAAACTCTGGAAAACATATGTATGTATGTATATATATATATTATATCTATATATATGTGTGTTATTATAAATATAGGGTTTTTTGAACCCCAAAACCGTCCTAATTCCAAATTCATATATTGATCCTGTTTACTATGAAGTCTCCAGTTTTGGGCACCTAGTAGCCTAGTGTTGAAAGCAAATCGTCCTTGGTCATGGTTTCACATGAATGGTATAACAATGGTATAACCATGTATAGCCTGCAGGTACGTAGGGCCTGCTGGGAGATACTGGAAGCGACCTGCAACCTGGTGTCCTCAAACGTGGCTGGAAAACTTCTGAACTAAATGAAAATTTGTAGCCTGTAGCTGGGAAAATAATTTCGAAAAGGAACCAAATCCATTGCCACGTTTGGCTACTGGGTACTGCCTTTGACTCCGTTTGACATCATGGTTTAGTGAGTATCTACCATAGCTGCCATAGCATCCATAAATTAGGGCGGTTGCCAAAAAACATGCGAATATGCTGCTTACATGGGTTGCCCTCCATCCTGGTTGATAGTAAATGCTTTATTCTTGTGGATTTCACATCAGCCATAATACCGGTCGGTTGATGGGTGTCCCTATTGGATCGGATGATCTCAATCCGCAATAGCTCAAGTGATTTTTGTACAATCCCCTTATCAAAAAAAAACAAAAACAATCCAGCATGTATCATCATTTATCATTTATATATCATCATTTAACATCATGATGATGATCATATAAACATATTTCATTTGATAGTTGCCCGATCAGTTAAATGAGTACAGACCCACAAAATAACCAACGAATCATCATTCATCAGTTGTACATCCTTTAAAATCATTCAAACCATATTAATTATCAATTATATCCTCATTCAAGATCATCAAAACCCATATAAACCCATTCAATTCCATAAAATCCCACTAAATCACCCTTAAAAACACATTCTACCACCATTTCATTAAATAGTTACGATCAGTTATCTGACCAACCAATGAAACACCATGCTAGGTAGTGAAGTTCACCCGCCTCAAGCAGGCTGCCACGGCCTTCGACCAGGACGCTTGTGGAGAAGACAAGGGCTGATGTTTGGAATATACTTTCAATATACTTCATCTCTCTCTCTCTCTCTATGTATATATTATATTATATACTTTGTGTGTATCTATATGTGTATATATATTATATACTGTTTGTCCTTACCTGCATTGTCATTTTGCGTGTGTTTTGTTGTGTCTGTTCACATGTTTGATCAATTTCAAAGTGAATTAAGCACGAATCCACCCAGCATATGCCATCTATTGCTTCAATGTGATCCAGAGATCAGCTGCTGGAATCAATGACTACCCCGATTCTCCATTCATGTTGGTAATTGATTTACAACCCGGTAATTTATTACTACTCTGCAACTTACAACCAAAAACAGTGTAGCTGGGGATTAGACATTCTCATGGCATTTTTTGAAAGTACAAACAACTAAGTACCAATCCAATTGTTGTTCCATTAATACTGGTTGCACATCCATTATATTTCCATTTTATTGGTTATTTCTTATCATCATCATCATCATCATCATCATCATCATCATCCTCATCCTCATCCAGTGATGGCTAGGGATTATAGACCCATGAAGCCAAGTTACTGCTTATAAAGCAACTTATTATCCTACTATTCTAGAGATTTCTAGACTATAAATTCATGAAATCCTCCATTTTTTACGTTTTTTTTTTTACGTGTTTTTCCAACCCCAAGAGGAATCCCTGAGGCCCCCCGAGGCCCCAAAAAAGGGCTCCCGGGGACCACCTGGGAATCCGAAAAGACGGCGGAGCGGAAGAGCGCGCGGTCCATGCGGATGCAACGCTCGAAAACAGCCTGGAAACCCATCATTTTTGAGGTTGGAATATATGGAATATTGGGAGATATACATGTATGTTACATGTATAGGCTATATACCCACCATTTCATTCATCGGAATATATTGGGATATGATGTACATATATACAGAATATATATATACAGTATATATGTATATATATATACGGTATATATATAATTATACAGTGTATATATAGTATATATATATGTAATTATATATGTATATATGTAATTATATATATATATATAATTATATATATAATTATATATATATAATTATATATATAATTATATATGTATATATATAATTGTATATATATATATGTAAATATATATATATATGTAATTATATATATATGTAATTATATATATAATTATATGTATATATATATGTAATTATATATATATGTAATTATATATATATATGTAATTATATATATGTATATAATTATATATATGTAATTATATATATATATATATGTAATTACATATATATATGTAATTATATATATGTAATTATGTATATATATATGTAATGATATTTGTATATATGTTAGAATGTGGGATGACATGTATATACTGTGAGTGAACTATCTGCTAGCATTTTCCATATCTGTGGCTATGTTTAAACATCGAAAAATATCTGCTAGACAAATTTGGGTTTGTCTGAAAATGGCTTTTGTACCAAACAAATGCAATTTCATTAAGGAAATGATGATGAAGCAATGGAATAGAGGGCCATGGGCTAAGATTTGATCAAATTATAGTTGTGTTCAATGCGAAACCAACCATTTGATGAGGATACAGTATCGGTCTAAGTTACAAAATGGGTCAGAGATTCCCCCAAAAACACATTGACATATTCAAGGAACCAATACACCAAACCAATTGTTGCTACCCTGAACTTCTCTCATCCAATTCTGGCATTATAACCAGAATTGAACATAATTTGAGGCAATGGGCGATCAAGAGATGGCACTCTCCCAAACATAACTGGATATTGAAGTGTATCTGGTGGCTTCTATGTATGGAGTGTCCCCGGTTCAGATGGGCTTGTCACTGGCAAACATGTTTTCTTGACTGATGAACAATTGAGAAACTGGTTCAACCAACCAAGTTCACACACTGTATACGTATTAAAACCATAAACACGGGTATGTCACAGTCATTGACAACATGGACACCATTGACTTTAACAACAGCGTAGATAGTTGTCATGATAGAGACATCGAGCAACAAGCATGAGGATGATGAGCCCAGTCATCGGGTCGCCTTGGGCTGGGTTGAGTAGTTTTTCGTTCTTGGATACCCCACCCAAAAGGGTCGACATTCGCAAAGAACTTCGGGGTGGATATTCACATTTCTTTAAAATACACAAGATGTAGTATTAACCACCATTTATGGTGTTGATTCCTGTAGTATTAAAATTACCAACACTTTTACTGGTTGGTGGTATACCTACCCCTCTGAAAAATATGAGTTCGTCAGTTGGGATGATGAAATTCCCATATATTATGGAAAAATAACATTCATATTCCAAACCACCAACCAGCTTTTAGATGGCCATTCCCTCTTAAATCTACCCACGACTGTCGAAGTTTCTACAGAACCTACCAATCTCAAGAGTTGACCCAACAAATCAACGAATTGACCATGGCAAATACAGGGTTGAACATGGCCATGCATTTTTAGGCATGGTTTAGTTTGAGGGATTATGACTTGATTATGTATGTCTACCCTCTGGTGAACTAACATAGCAATGGAAAATGGCCATTTATAGTGGATTTTCCCATTAAAAATGGTGATTTTCCATTGCTATGTTAGTTCACCAGAGGGTATGTGACATAAACTGAAGGGTAACTCAACTTATAATTACATCCCACGTTCGCTGACGAGAAAATGTGCACCCCTCAAGTTGCCTCACTGGGTCGCAAAGCTCCCAGGGATTTGGCAATCCTTGGCAGCTTGGGATCTTTTGGAGCTGATGTTGATATATCCAAATGGTATACTGGTTGGTGGTTTCAACCCCTCTGAAAAATATTAGTCAATGGGAAGGATTATCCCATATATTATGGAAAATAAAAAATGTTTGAAACCACCAACCAGTATATGTTGCTACAAGGAAAGCTAATAAACTGTTGGAACAGATATAGTAGAGCATGCCGCGTTCCAGTTCCAGTGTCAGTGGAACCATAGTACATCTTTGATGCCACTCGAAACAAGTTTTCTGTGGGAGATTCCACTCCACCATGATACAACATGCCAATGTGGTAAAGCCAAGAATAAACAAAGTCCCATTAATGCATATTAATGCATATTAATGCATATTAATGCATATTGATGCATATTAATGCATATTAATGCATATTAATGCATATTAATGCATATTAATGCATATTAATGCATATTAATGCATATTAATGCATATTAATGCATATTAATGCAAATTAATGCATATTAATGCATATTGATGCATATTAATGCATATTAATGCATATTAATGCATATTAATGCATATTAATGCATATTAATGCATATTAATGCATGTTAATGCATATTAATGCATATTAATGCATATTAATGCATATTAATGCCTATTAATGTATATTAATGCATATTAATGCATATTGATGCATATTGATGCATATTGATGCATATTGATGCATATTAATGCATATTAATGCATATTAATGCATATTAATGCATATTAATGCATATTAATGCATATTAATGCATATTAATGCATATTAATGCATATTAATGCATATTAATGCATATTAATGCATATTAATGCCTATTAATGCATATTAATGCCTATTAATGCATATTAATGCATATTAATGCATATTAATGCATATTAATGCATATTAATGCATATTAATGCATATTAATGCATATTAATGCATATTAATGCATATTAATGCATATTAATGCATATTAATGCCTATTAATGCATATTAATGCCTATTAATGCATATTAATGCATATTAATGCATATTAATGCATATTAATGCTTATTAATGCATATTAATGCATATTAATGCATATTAATGCATATTAATGCATATCAATGCATATTAATGCATATCAATGCATATTAATGCATATTAATGCATATTAATGCATATTAATGCATATTAATGCATATTAATGCATATTAATGCATATTAATGCATAGTAATGCATATTAATGCATAGTAATGCATATTAATGCATAGTAATGCATCTTAATGCATATTAATGCATCTTAATGCATATTAATGCATATTAATGCATATTAATGCATATTAATGCATATTAATGCATATTAATGCATATTAATGCATATTAATGCATATTAATGCATAGTAATGCATAGTAATGCATAGTAATGCATAGTAATGCATATTAATGCATAGTAATGCATATTAATGCATATTAATGCATAGTAATGCATATTAATGCATATTAATGCATAGTAATGCATATTAATGCATATTAATGCATATTAATGCATAGTAATGCCATTACCCAACCATTTGGGGTCATTTTGCAATCCCAACCTATCCCGGTCAATGGGATGGTTTCAGTTAGCGCGTTGGCTGGACAAGTCCCATGGCAAAATGCCAGCATCGGTGCTATGGATCAAAAAATCAATGGTGATTAATGGTGATTAATGATGGTTAATGATGGTTAATGATGGTGACTAATGATGATTTCACTTACTCTCTGGTAAATTAACCGTTTGACCCTGAAAATAGCCTAGTTTTAATGGAAAGTAATCTTCCAACCCCGATGACTGCCAGGGTCGAATTGTTAATTTACTGGAGGGTAATAGACCATGAACATCAGATGTCATTCCCACAAACCCCAAAAGATAGAGATCTTTTGGAGCAGCCTAGCACTGCCTGAAAATCTTCGTGATGGTTCATGAGTCGATTGGCGATCAGAACGTCTATCCATTTATTGGAACGTCTAAGACATGCTTGGGTATGAAGAAGTATGACTGAACATGTAGGATATTGTAGGATATGCCATGGATATCCGAATTTATGGACATTTTGCTGAAAGTGACAACTAAACAATGGATTTTGGATGAGTTTGGATGTTTTGCCACAATTGTCTGACAAACCTGTTCGGAGCCACCAACCAGAGCAAACAACAGCGACAAACATTTCATCTGTACAGTTTTGCGGATGAAGAACTGTCTCGCTCTGCTACAAAAAGAAAAAAGTTTCTGGCGCCAGAATTGGCTCAAGGGAATCTTTACAGGAAAAAACTAAACACTCTGCAGTATCTCGTTGATTGATGAACATGTAAAACTGTGAACAACATGAAAGCATATCTATACGTCAAACCATGTACCTATCTATCCATCTATCCATCCATCCATCCATCTATCTATCATATCAATCTATTTGTTTATTTATTTATTTGGCTTTAAATGCATCAACCATCTGTTGCATGGAGTTATATTCAATTTGGAGAGCTAGGTATAACCACGTATCTATCATACATAAGTGGGAAAACAAGGATCCAACTATGTGTATACGTACACATATATTGAATACATATATATATATATATTATCAATATGACTTATGACTATATATATATATAATTATATATATATATATATCAATGCGCATATGCATATATATACATGTGTATAGGAACATACCTATCAAACGTGTGACATGTATATGTTGCACTGTAAAACAAGAACAAATGCTCTCCTGGGATGACTCAGACGGTGCCGCAGGGCCAACCCACTGCCGCTCCACAATGATTTTCTCCAACACGGGAATGATAACCATATTTTAGCGCATGCAAACTAGGTTAACCAACAAAAAACTATATATCTGGGTAAATTATCATGTTTCACGAACCTGAATTAAGGCCATAAAAGGGGAGGATTTCCCTTATTAACCATCATTTCCATAGTATACATGTATATAGTAACTACAGGGATTGAATCACTTGACCATAGGGATTTCACCATCTGGTGGGGTTGCCTCACCTGTCAATGGATCCTCGTCTACATACTCTTGCCAATTCGCTGTAAGATCCATATTCTTTTAAAAGTGAGTATATATATATATATGATATCAATACGGAACACTAGTTTGAATATGTTTGAATATGTTTGAATATGTAATCTCTATAATAGATGAGCAGTGGTTCCAGCTTTCAGCAAACAATGTTTGAGTAAATCCCCAAGTTCTGTTTCCAACTACAGTAAATATTGAGGTTTCCAGTCACGATTTATTATCACATATTCTGAAATTTATACGGTACCGTCAACAACAACAACAACAACAGCAACAACAACAACAACAACAATAAGTTTCGAAATTCGAACGTGTCAACAAACGTGTCAACAAACGTGTCAACAAACGTGTCAAGCAAATTGCAGTTGCTTGACGGAGAAAGAAGTGGGATTTGGGGCCAAACAGCTAAGCCTGGACATCAAGACTGTTTGACAGATTGACTGAGAACATCTGTGCGAAATTCTCAACGTTTACATCAGCTGAGCAGCCTGATCTGTGCCATGGACCGACAAGAAGCAGGCTAAAAACACGTGGCTTTGTTGGGACATGATCATCTATGGTCTATGGTATAACACACCCATGGGATTTCTACATTGACAGACAGACATATGTGTTACATTGTGTTGCCCTGACCATGATGCCATGGCACATGACACATGAGCCTCTGCCGTCTACAAGCTGATGGCATAGCTGTATATAGCTGTGGCATTCGAGAGGTCCGACAGGTGAAGATGCCCCATGTGGAAGGTAATCACTTGACCATCTGCTTCATCGCTCAGCTGCAATTCTGCGGCGACCGTCCCGTCCCGACAAGCGTCCCGAGATGGGTCCCGACATGCCTCCCTTGGGCTTCCGGGTATGTTGCTTCACGGCAGTGCTCCACCACCAGCTGGAAACTCTCGGGGTTCTCTTGCACAGCACTCAGAAAGGAACCGAGAGATCTTTATCGCTTCCTCAAGAACTTCCGCCACACTAAAATCTGAAGCATCGAAGCCACAAGGCGAAAGGAGGGCTTCTCACGTAAATACTAAGAAAGCCAAAGATTAGCGGATGGAACCAAGCATGCAAGTGCCAAAGATGTCCACCATTTGCGGAGAGACCGGAAATGAAGAGTAGTGCACTGCAAAGAAATATCACCCCAAAAAACATCTCCAAGTGAACGATACACAGGTCAGTGGTTTGAAATGGTTGAAAGGGTAATATGTAGCGATGCTTTTACTGTAAGACTGCAAATGTTGCATCCCCATTTGCTGTTTCTCCAAGATCCTCCAAGTACCAGGTACCGGGTACCCTAAACCTCACAAGAAACCTCACTTGGATATTCCCTGAGATCCCCCAAGCAATTCAATGACTGGGTCCAACATTTTGATGATACCCACCTTTAAAAGGTTAATTCATAACATGTTTCAATCAGTCAGAATCAGACTGAATTAAAATTCTGTGCAGTTGCCCCAATATCAACCACTGTTTATCGTGAAGTCAACCAGGCATCATATCCCCATGCAATGTTTTGCCAATTCAACTAGTACTTTAAGCTCATTCCAGTCCTGACTTCCAGCAATTTCTCCAAACAATAACTCGAATGTCAGTGCTGACTTCCCCTTAAATCTTCAATCCCATGAAGCCCATGAGAATCACGAGAATCTTCACCATGATACCATCCGGTAATCTAACAGTTCGCTATTGAACATGGCCCATTTATAGTTGATATACCCATTAAATATGGTGATGTTCCATCGTTTTTTGTATGTTGACCAGAGGGTATCTCCTGAAAATGCCAGGATTTTCGGTTCAGGCCAGGGAGCGAGGAGATCTGTGGCAACGTCACCACTTCCTGAGCCTCCAAGGATTTCGCCAAGCAGTTGGCGCCCACGGTTTCGCAGGCGATCACTCTGCTGGGCCTCAGGTAGATCATCGGGAATCCAGCGCCAAAGATAGCCGGCCTGGTTATGACTAACATAGCGAACTGGAAAGATCCACCATGTTTCATGGGAAAATCCATGAACATCCACTATTTCTATGGCCATTTTCAATAGCTTTTTGTTAGTTCACCAGAGGGTATGTTGTATTTATGGGAAAATCAATCCACCAAAACTGAGGTCTATAACCTCCAAACCTGCAGGTTGTTGCACTGATCCAAACACTAGAGCCTCTAAATATGTAATCTGTTCTATACAGACCCCGATCCAACAATTCAATGGACGGTATATACATAATTATACATATACATATTCGTTGGTATCTTACTATGCAATGGTTCCTTGGTGCTTCCTCAGTGTATCCCAAGCACAGCGCTTGAGTCTCACACCATCCAGCAGCCTGGTCCATGACTGGATGACTGAGGGGTACCCCCATGACTTAGGAAACATCCATATGTATGTGTGTATGTATGTATGTATGTATGTATGTATGTATGTATGTATGTATGTATGTATGTATGTATGTATGTATGTATGTATGTATGTATGTATGTATGTATGTATGTATGTATGTATGTAGGTATATATATAATATCTGTATATATATATATATATATGTATATGTATATATATATATGTATATGTATATATATATATATGTATGTATATATATATATATGTGTGTGTGTGTTTGCCATTGTTCATTCTGCACTGAGATTGAGGCAATGAGAAGTTGAGGTAATGTGCGGGTGGGTTAATGAGGTTGAGGCAATGAAATGTTCAGCAATTCCAGTCATCCATAACTCGGAGTCTCTCTACAACAATTCCTTTCATAAGGTTACATTACAACATACACAGGAAAAAATGTATATTCAATAGATACCATATATATATATATGATTATATATGTATGTATAATATGTGTATTATAGATTTCTATGTTTCTATATGTTTATATTCACTGTTTGTAATTATACATACATATTACATTTGCATTTGTTTGAAGAATAAACACATTCCAATAAATGTGCATGCATGTACTTATAGATATTTATAGTGATAGTAAATGATGATAGTAAGTCACCAACAAGTATTTCATATTAAATTATCACTATCTTAGTAGGATTTCACTTTTCCACATTGGTGTTTACAATCTATGAAATCATGCCGGCGGCCGCAGCAGTTTCCGCCTCCACACCCTTCAAGATGCCCATCAACAGGCCTCCACCACCTGCCATGGCGATTTCACCGCTAGAAATCCTTCGAACGTTTTGGAACTGGGGATGGTTCACCAGATCAAAGCTATCTTAGACCTGAAAATGGGGATACCTTCACTTTGTGCAAAGCCACATGGCTAAGCTGAGCTGAGGTGGCCCAATAGAGTTCATTGGAAAGGGATCAACTGTTTCCGATTCTGTTGAGTGATGTCAACCAAGTTGAAGAGACACTTGGAAATTGGTGGAATGAATCGGATAGGCCACCTACACAGGTCACGATGGCATCTGGCGGACTGGGCAACTGACGCTGCAGCTCCTGTGGCCAAGTGGTGATCTGAAGCACAGAAAAAATATGAAAAAATGGGAAAATGATGGGAGAACAGGAATTTCTGGGGAAAACAATATCTATCAATATCTCAATTTATTGGAAACAAACACCCCAAATCTGATGATTGAATAGGATTCATCATCATGTTCCCATCAAAATTGCAGTTTTCGGGATCCGAACCTCAAACTGATAAGCATGATGACGGATATTACATCACAAAAAACTATGGGAAAAATACATATAGACAAGAATAGAGAAGTCCCAAACTGTCATACACATTATTGATTAATTGATTAATTGATGATTGAACTACCCTTGACTCATCTTGAATCTGTCCAATGTGCATGCAAAGGTTACTGCCCTAGATGGTGATAGTAATGAAGAAGAATGCTCAGATTCTGACAAGAAACATGACACACACACACACACTTTCTCATATCAGACTTGTAAACAGAACTGTCAGTTGCATTCTCTGCATATACTATGTAATATATATATATATATATGTAATGCTATATATATATATATCATTATTATTTATTATTATTATTATCATCATCATTATTATTTTATATGCTATTAGACAGACATCTTCCTTCGCCAGATCCTGGTTTTTCTCAGCCTTTTAACAAAAATCGCATCGCGGCGCGGTTTCCTCCACCATCGTGGCGTGGCCCCGCCAGGTGGACTCCTGCATTCAGCTTGGTGCTTGGTGTCCCGCCCACAATGATGGGATCATTAATGATGGTTAATACATTGCCAATCTTAGATACCCTGCAAAAAAATTGCCAATCTTAGATACCCTGCAAAAAAAATAAATTCTTTGCTGGTTAGTAGATATTCCCATTAATACCAAAAGACTAAAGGATTAAAGTATCCATGTAAGATTGACCTAGAATATACCGTTAATAATGGTTAATACCATGGTTACTATATGGTTAATGATGGTTTTTATATATAGTAATGACTGGTTGGTGGTTGAGCCACCAACCCCTCTGAAACATGAATGACTTCGTTGGGATTTCATCATCATATTATTAATCATATTTTTAATCATATGTGGAAAACATATGTGATTTTTTTGACTTTCAGTTGGTGGTTTGGAAATGTTTTGAACACATGACATTCCCAATGGGGAAAATAAAATTAATCCAAAACACCAACCAGCCATTTTTCTGTGATTAAAACAATCATAAACTACCCATTGTTTGATGGTTAAAAAACCACCTATAAAAATATGGTGCTGACTGGGGGATGGTCATACTAGATCTATTTATTTTTGGGTCCCTTATTAGGGGGTATTTAACGTTACCGGGATGGGATTGTATCAATTATTTCTGGCTAAATCTGCCTCAAATCCCAAATTGGCAAATTGCCTTCAGTCAACTAGCCCTGTGCCATGCCATGTCTGGATTCTAGATAATTTTATTCATTTTCATTCATTTTCATTCATTTTCATTCATTTTCGCTTTCCATATCTATGTCAGTTGATCGGCGAAATCGCATCAAATCTCCACCCCATCCAGACCTCTGGTCCTGGTCGAAGGGATGGACGTAGGCGCCCTGCCGCTCTTCCACCACTTCGCGCGCCTTCCGATCCGCCTGGAAATGGCCCCCCCGAATCTATCATAAGGAAAGCATACTGTATATGCGGGGAATACTGTAGATCTATGGGGAAAAAAAAGTGTATACTAACGGAATAATCTGATGTTCTCACTGTTAGGGGAATAGGTACGGGTATAACTGAATACAATAAGTGTGAGGGGAATACAATATGTATTTGTATATATATATATAGTTGTACCCATACGTATTCCCTTAAGAGTTAGATATAGTTGATGTTGTGTATATTATGTATAGTTATATTAATCCCTTCCTCCTAATACTAACCCCCCCCCCTAATACAAAACACGGCAGGTAGTTTTTAGTATTAGGGGGGTATTTATTATTAGGGAACCAAATCGAAGTCATGTTAATTAATTAAATTTCCTTATATAACGCAATTAAAATATTGCCAAAAATGGCAGTTCGAAGCTTACCCCTAATACTAAATTAAAACCCTTAATACTAAAAACTATTTTTTCCGATCTCAAAATCAATTAAATTTCCTTATATAACGCAATTAAAATATTGCCAAAAATGGCAGTTCGAAGCTTACCCCTAATACTAAATTAAAACCCTTAATACTAAAAACTATTTTTTCCGATCTCAAGATCAATTAAATTTCTTTATATAACGCAATTAAAATATTGCCAAAAATGGCAGTTCGAAGCTTACCCCTAATACTAAATTAAAACCCTTAATACTAAAAACTATTTTTTCCGATCTCAAAATCAATTAAATTTCTTTATATAACGCAATTAAAATATTGCCAAAAATGGCAGTTCGAAGCTTACCCCTAATACTAAATTAAAACCCTTAATACTAAAAACTATTTTTTCCGATCTCAAAATCAATTAAATTTCCTTATATAACGCAATTAAAATATTGCCAAAAATGGCAGTTCGAAGCTTACCCCTAATACTAAATTAAAACCCTTAATACTAAAAACTAGCCCCCCTAATACTAAACACCCCGGGATGAAATTAGTTTTTAGTATTAGGGGGGAGAACCCACAAATGGTAGGTTGATTTTTGAATTGTTTTTTAAAGGGGATCAATTAAAAGTCAAATTGGCCAAACTGAAATTTTCGGAAATTGGAGATGGATGCCTGTTTTTAGTATTAGGGGGACGTTTAGTATTAGGAGGAAGGGATTATGTATAAATGCCCATTGGTATTCTGAAATAAAAGTTTAACAAGACAAGTATTATCACAGCTAGGGTTGTATACAAACAGGGATAGAAACCATATGTATATATATATATATATATTTATAATGTCCCCTTCAAGGGGCCCATCTTGGTACTCAGGAAAACCAAAAACACTGCATTCTTTCGCAGGACTTGCCGCATTTTTGACGGGTCATCAATGGTGGTTTCATCACTGAATCCCTGATACGAGTACCAGTTGTTGTCCACCTAAGGTCCACCAAAATAATCTCGTTGGTGGTGCAATAACAAATCTGGAAAAAGATATGTCAATGGGAAGGATTATCCCATATATGAGATGGAAAATAAAACATGTTTGAAACCACCAACCAGTAATGGTGCAAAGATGTGCAAAGCGCAAAGCACCCAATAGGGGGGGCAGCAAAATCTACATGCCAATAGTAGCGGAGATTCTCCAGGATTTGACATCATTTTGCAGGGCCATGGCTTATCCCTACCAGCCATGTCGCCTCATCCCAAACGCTGCCATAGACCATGACCTGGCCATGGTGCCCGGGTGCCCGAACGTTGGCAAAGTCCTTTTCCCGACGTTGGTTGAAATGACATTGAACTGCTGGGTGTATGGTAATTACAAAATATCTATAATTAGGTAGTTTAACCAACTTGTACCAACTTATAAAACTGGTTTTGCCAGCAAAACTGGGCACCACCTGGTTTTGTTTAACCAACACCCCAGTCCAAGCCAGGGGAAATCATCAATGGGGGAATGTTCCCAGTCAAGGTTGTCTGGTTGGTCGAAGTTGGTGATTGAAACATAAACCCATCACAAACACACGAAAAATGTTCATCTGTGTGGATTGCCTGACCAAGACAAGCAGAAACTAAAACACATGTACAATGAAGTAGATTGGGAGAAGCATCTTGAACAATGCCATCATACCCTTCATCTAACTGGCTCAAATTTCTATCAAACTCCACCAACCTGAAATAAGTACAGGGATGATTGCCCTTAGCCAACTGGCTCATTTTTTGCCGTGAAGTCGCAGTGAAAGCACAATCGAAAAAGAACACATGGCAAGTTGTCAAGAAATCATCATGTGATCGGAGAAAAACAAAGGAATTCCACAACAATAAAATCTCTTCGATATTCAAAGTGTCAAAGAATGTCAAAGATCATCCTTTTCTTCCAATCTATCGTACCTTCTGGTAATCAAACATGGCTAGCTGGGGCCCTAAAAGTTGATCTGTTCGCTGTGAAAATCATCGAAATCAATGAGGGATTGTCCAGCAAGCCATGTTGAGCCACTCCAGGTCCCCCAACATCTGCGCCGTAAAAGGCCAGGTGCTGCTGCACGCTCTCAGGCGTGGTAGTGGGTAATACCACCTGGAGTCAGCAGACAGTTTTTTGGATATATATATATATATTCCACCAAATATGCATAACTATGGTGGAACTTGGCAACTTGATCTATCCCATTTGCAGGAAAAAACAACCAAGCTTCTGTTTATAGTTGTTGATCCAGGAGCTGTTCCTACACGAGGCAACAAAAAAACTGCACATCCACTGACATATTGGGAGTGATGTCACCCCAGTTTACCAAGGTTCTTGCTTCGACTGTTTTTGTCATGTCTCGTATAACAGATCCTCATTTCACACATAATTTGTTGAACCCACATCATTGTTCATTTACGTCTCAGTTTTATTAGCTAAACCCTAGTTTTTGCTGGGGAGACAATGTTAAATCCCCATGCCGTTTGTATGCCGTTTGTTTGTTTTTTTTTTTGTGTGTGTGTGTGCGTGTGTGCGATATCCTCCACTGTCAGTCTCTCCCAGAACCATAGAATCATCACATTTTGGGTAGGGGCCTCCTATGATTCTTCACAATTAAGTGTTGCAGGGCAGACTACGCATCCAGTTGGTTTTCCCATGTTTTCTCCAAAAATCCAAATGATACAATCGAATCCCAACTCTTGAGAGACAAATCATGTTACAGTAAATCATGATATTTTCATTCGTGATTTCACATGATTTCACCATATGTTTCATGAATGTAGCATTGTTCACGCAATCATCAATTGGTTATGGGTCAAAACCCTGGTACCCTAGGTATTCTAAAATAGCTGGTGAATAGATGGTTATTCCCCCAAATATGGTAATAATAGGTATTGAACCATCCCCAATTATTCACACTCTGCGGTGCCCACTGTGCAAGGCAGCTTAAAGTCGCGAGCAGCGAAGGCAGCCGCCAGCCCAGCCTCGGTTCTATGGATCTAGGCATCAAACATACAGTACCATCTGGTTATTTAACATAGCCATGGTATAGATGGCCCATAGAAATAGATGGTTTACCGTTCTTAACAATGGTGATTTTCCATGGCGAATTGTTAGTCATAACCAGATGGTAACCCAAAACTAAGATTTGACCACCAGGACTTCCAGCACATGGTGATCTTATCAGCACATAGATTCAACTTGGTTTAACAATGGCTGTTCCTACAAGGTGGTGCCCCATAGTTAGCTAAGTTGGTTTATAACTCCCATAAGTATAGTTTATGGTAGATATAACTATAGTTAATGGTGTTTATAAACCAGCTTATAACTGGGGGGCACCATCCTGTAGATAACCTGAAAAAAAATGTTCAGCAGTACATACCCATAACTATGGCCCAAAATACCGGCAAGGAATCCAACGGTGCGAAAAAAAATTGGTAGATTGTATGATAGATCTACCGGTATACCTCTTAGATACCCTGATGTTGGATAGCCATATGGCCATATCTATTACCCAAGAACAACTACAAAGGTGGTGCCCCCACCCAGCACCAACTATACCTAATATCAACCCTAGTTAAGCTCGTCAGCAACCAACTTAGCTATCATAAATCAAGTATATTTTTCAAAATGAACCACCATTTTTCTGGCTTAGATAATGTGAACTCCCCATTTTTGCTGGTGAAATCACAATTGTTGGCTAAATCGCCATTTTCCCCATGGTTTTCCCATGGTTTTCCCATGGTTTTCCAGCCATTTCATTGCTGCCCGGTCACATTGCCACCGCTGGAAGAAACGATACATTTGGCACCTGCAGCAGCTGCCTGAAGGTCAGGGCTGAAAGGGGCCCGAGACAAAACGGCAACAAAATCCGTTCCCACTGCTAGATCTATAATATATATATATATACATATATATATATATATATAGTGTGTGTATATGTATATGTATATGTGTATCTATATATATATATGTATAGTATTCTATATTTATAGTATCTATAATATCTATAGCATCTATAGTGTCTATAATATCTATAGTATCTATAGGATAGATGGTATAATAAAGGAAATATGGTATACTATATCTATCATATATCTATCATATCTCTAGAGGACATCTATAATAAATCTACTGATAAATCGTAATGACTTGTAATGATTCACTGACCTGAAATAAGCACATTTTGGGATAGTTACCCCTACTAGCCATCACTCCACCGACATCACAGTGAGGTAGGTATAATTTACCCAGATATATCTATAATGTATCTATAATACATCCATAATGGGTATATGTATATATATATATATAATATATATATACACACATATATACTATATATTATATATAATACATAAATCTACGTATAGTATACATGTGTAAATTATATATATATATACACAGATAATATCTATAGTATGATCCCCTTGGAAGCCTTGTCTTTGTTTTGTGTGCTGGTGGGTCGTGTACTGGGGGTATTGAGTACTAGTGGTAAGACCTAAAAATCTTCAACATATAAAACACACAGAACATAAACAAAAAACAAACTCATAAACTATCATGTGGTTGGGAAACCCTTGGTTGCTCCCTGACTTCCCATCTAAGAAGAAATATGGATACCCATAGCTCCTTTGCTCCTTCAACACCAGCGGATAGTGAAGAAAACACATAGTCAAGTGGGTTTTAGCAGTAAATCAGGTCAACTGGGGCGGCGAAGCTTCAAACAAATGGACGGTATGTATCTGAAAATTCTGATGTGTATTTGCATGTGTGTCCGCAACCTTAACGTTCGCCCAGACTCACGAATGTGACATAACAGAACAATATGTTGATTGGGGTAATAACATCAACTTTATCTTCATGAGGGATCAAAATTCGCCACCCCCTCTGAACAATACGTTGATTGGGATCATAACATCAACTTTATCTTCATGAGGGATCAAAATTCGCCACCTCCTCTGAACAATACGTTGACTGGGATAATAACATCAACTTTATCTTCATGAGGGATCAAAATTCACCACCCCCTATGACCAATATGCTGAAAGGGGTAATAACATCAACTTTATCTTCATGTGGGATCAAAATTCGCTACCCCCTATGACCAATATGTTGAATGGGGTAATAACATCAATGTTATCTTCGTGAGGGATCAAAATCAGGAAGGCGTAAAATCAACTCCGGGCAAACGTCCAGGTTGCAGCGTACTATCTGAGAATTCTGATGTGTACTTGTATGTGTGTATACATACGTATTTATACACATTATATTACATATACTGCAACATATAATATAGAATATCATAGCAAGTGTAGGTAAATCATAGGTAAACAATCTGTATATCTACGTTTTTGGATGTTTTTGGTTTATTTTCCATCGACAAATGCACATTTGAACATGAAGCAGTGTTGACTTCCCTTTTCAGCCCCTTGGCAATCCTTGGTGATATTGGTGAGTCCCAAACATTGATATTCTACCGTTTGTTTTTGTGGTTGAACACTTTCCTGGAAGTTGTTGCAGGGGTTGAACATATGCTTGAATTGGATTGACTCAGGATTGATTTTTCCAAGTTCTTGTTTATTGAATATAGTCAATTTGATCATATTACGAGGCAAAAACCATGATGTTCAGAACTTTTCGCACGTGAAGTTACTTCAGAGGCATTTCCCAAGTAACCGAAATCATCCTCTCCGCCCCTGACCTCCTTAACTGTGAGACCAATGCCACGAAGTTTGAAGGAGCCGGAAGGCTGCAGCAGGTCCAATTTCCTCATGCGGGGCCCCAAACATTCACACCAAATGGTGACTTTCATGGGACATTAGATGATCAACTTGGTTTTGACGCAACACAAATTGGGTGCGATATCCCACTTTATGGCAATCATATGCAATCATAGTGGCGCAATGATGATACCCCTTGGATTTTATTACCCATCAGTAGCCCATCTTATCCCATCGTTACCGCCGGCTGCCAGGCGTCAAGAACACGTCGGCACCCAGGTGTTTGGAGAAGGTGTCGGAGAAGATCAACGGCGTTTCAATATGGCTTGACCCTGGCGTCAACACCGGAAAAACACCGACAGCAACACCCCGTTGAAAGCGTGGTTTAACCATCAACAAATGTGGTTTGATAACGTTTAACATGCATCTAACTATCATGAAATGGGGATAAATGGGGTATCGGCTTGTAGCATATGCAATTCCAAATGCCGGGAATGAGATGTTCACCGAAGCCGAGATGGACATGTTGGGATCTGACCTGTCCCGTTTGTGGGTCAGTCTTGAATGGAACAGAACCCCACAACGATAACTAACACGTTTTGTTTTGCAGCAAGACTATAGATTAGTAGCTTTAAAATCATTCTGCATACCATGTATGTATGTATGTATGTATGTATGTATGTATGTATGTATGTATGTAATGTATGTATGTATGTATGTATGTATGTATGTATGTATGTATGTATGTATGTATGTATGTATGTGTATGTATGTATGTATGTATGTATGTATGTATGTATGTATGTATGTATGTATGTATGTATGTATGTATGTATGTATGTATGTATGTATGTATGTATGTATGTATGTATGTATGTATGTATGTATGTATGTATGTATGTATGTAGTATGTATGTATGTATGTATGTATGTATGTATGTATGTATGTATGTATGTATGTATGTATGTATGTATGTATGTATGTATGTATGTATGTATGTATGTATGTATGTATGTATGTATGTATGTATGTATGTATGTATGTATGTATGTATGATAATGCTGATTTTGGTAAATACCATTATGATGTTTGGCTAACCAGCATTCCATAGAATTATCATAGTCCACAAAATGTTTAGTATAAGCCCCAACAAATGCCCTTTATAATCATCAATCAACTCTGGTTTCTGAAACTGCGATACGATCTTGGGATGTGCACATCCGGCAGATCGACCATGGTGTCGATGCATGTGCGATGATTTCATGGACGAATTCTTAAGGAAGTACCTGTTCATTTGTTCTCAGTCGTCTTTCGTGACCGGAAAGTACACTCTTTTCGGATCCAGTACCTGCAAAATCCTTCCATAACTGGAACTCATTATAGCAACCCTGGTGAGTAAGTCCCCTACAATGTGAGGCCCCTCAGTTATAAGTTGGTTTAGAAGCCCCAGTAACTATAGTTATAACTACCATAAACCATAGTTATTGGGTTATAAACCATAGTTATCCGATGTTATCCGATTTATCGTTCGGTAAACTACCCCACTTTCCATCCAGGTAGGTCGGAGCTCCACGTAGGATGACACCATCCAGTAGTCCGGTGGATAGCTCGAGATGGCGATATCAGCCACGAATTTCGGCATTGTATGTCTTGGCTCATTACAACTGGGACATATACAGTATACATGTATATATAAATATATATACAATTATATACACTATATTTTGTATAGAGTATTATATATACACTGTATAATATGTATATTAAAAAGTAAATATGTATATGTATACATACCGTATGTACTATATATATCTATATATAAGCAAAGATGCGTAGAATGTCAATGAATATCAAAGAAACATCAAACAAATGCAATCCACACACGGATCCCGTTGCATCGCCTGTAAAGCTCCGTCGCCACAAGCGGTTAACCTGTTGCTTGACCTGTGGAGTAGTACAATCCCCGGGAAAAGGGGTGTGACATTGGGTTTATCACATGTTGTGACACATATAACGTCATGTACATGTAATTATGTACATATCTCTTTGGTTTCCACACATGTACATTAACTACATGTTCTATCTTTTGATATCCTCACGGGGCATGGTATGAACACATCCAATATCCATTATCATCCAGGCCTGTGATGACCACGCACGGTAGCAGCAGGCAGCCATTGGCGTTCGAGTCACCACTTTGGGCAACTGAATGAGCCCGAGATCAAAATGATGGTGTCAAGAAAACCATTTGGCAACAATGGGAATGGATTTCATATAGTATATTTTAGTGGGATATAAACAACCATACTATATATATATATGATATTGAGGTGTGTCTGAAAATTGATGGGGAAACCACGAAATCGACCGGTTAATCATTGCTTTCCCAATAACAAATTACATAACATGTTCAGTGCATATTCCATGTTCAGATACACCTGAGACCGATGTCACTGCCGTGTCCCTCAAAACAAATTCCCAGAAAACATGTGTAGGAACGTGCAGCACATTTACATAAGCGGGTACAAATACAACATGTTTTATATATTGTGTGGATTGACTGTCCGTGTGCATTGCTACAATAAAATGGAATATCTGGGATGGTCCGAAAATAGTGTACCTCCAAGTTTCATTGATGGTGGATCATCATGTTTCCCTTCTAAAAGCACTATTTTTTGGTACCACTATTTTCAGACAGGCCCATATGAAGTGAGGGTTTCTTTTAGATGGACTTCTTGGCTACACTCCGTTTCATTGCTGATGTGGACAATTGCCAACATGAAGTTGGCAGTGCTCGAGCAAACATCGCTGACCCAAAAGAAGTTCATCCAAAAGGATCATATGACATACATGCACATGTATCTAACGCACATGTATCTAAAAAATGGATATAGACATGTGTATATTATATGTAATATACATAATATGTATAATACACTGTGTACTATGTATTTGCATTCCAGGTAGGATCCGCCACTGGCATCTTCTGTGGCCCAGGGTGTGGCTGACATGTTTCCCGCCACAAGCCTAGTTGGTTGTTGAAGGATGACGGATGCAGTGGCAAAGCATTGTCCCATACGTTCACGATTGTTCACACATGAGAAGGTTTCAAGTCATTCCCACGTATAGAGAGATCGCAGAATCCGGGCTTTATGGGTGGGAGGTGGCCAACGGTCACGCAGCCTGCTTGGCTTGGTCCAGCAACCGTACCTCAGGTGAACACGTTTCAGTCAACAACACGACAATAGGGGGCAGGATGGAAATACGGGTCCAGAAGTTGTTGCGGATGAACTTATCTTTTTACACTGGAACTCAGAACCCCCTTTGGCGTTGTCCAAACATATCAAAAAATACCCAGAATCAAGTGGTTTGAACCAAAAACATGTTCTGCAAATGGACATACATATATCATATATATCATAATATGCCCTCTGGTAAACATACAGAAAACTATGGAACATCACCATGTTTAGTGGGTACTGTAAATCAACGACCTAAATGGGCCATGTTCAATAGCAAACTGTTAGTTTACCAGAGGGTATCATAATATATCATAGCTGGTTGGTGGCTTCAACCCCTCTGACAAATATGAAAGTCACTTGGGATGATTATTTCCAATATATGGAAAAATAAAAAATGTTCCAAACCACCAACCAGTATATCATATATCATTAATATATATATTAATATATTATCATTTCGTATCCATAAATTAATAGAATAATATAATATGTCATAAACAAAATCATATAAATATTAATATATTTCCATATATTTCATATAAACATAATATATATTAATATCCATAAATTGGCTCCCAATCCGCTGGGGCCCTGGGGTCTCCCAGCTCGTTGCGAGAGGTCGCTGGCCCCGGGGCCCGAGGCGATCAGCAACATCACCTGGTCCCGTAGCCTGCCCTGGGGAGGGGCCAGGTCCCGCTTCGCAGGGTTATCCCATAGATGACCATTTATATATATATATATATATTTAGAGAGAGATCAATATAGAACAATATATAGATCAATATATAGATCATCATGATCATCATCATCATCAACATAATTATAGTCTTCATTATCCTGAAGTAGATAGAATATGGAATTTGCCACTATATTCCCATGGATTCTTTGATATGTTCATATTCTATCCACTCCAGACTATACCTATATCATCCTGAATCTATGCATATATATATATATGATTTAAGTATGGATACGAATCTATTAAACCCATCCCCCGTTCGAATAAACACACCACAGAAATCATGGTGTATGTAGTTGATGAAACCACATCTTTGGGACCATACCATGTTTTTTTTTTAATATTGGGGGGATGGCGTTATACCCGATTAAATCCAGTCAATAGTTATATGAGTTATATGTCCAATAACACTGCAGTTCATTAGTTGGTTTATAACTATCATAAGGAGGGTTTCTGGCAGATAAAACTATAGCCGGATAAGGGTTATGAACCAATTATAACTAGAGTAGATGGACAAGATACTCACACTTTGCAATTGCATTTCATTGTGACCCCTCACCCCCAAATCTCAATGATTGAGCTCGCTACCAAGTCTGGTGTGATATGCATATCTATATCTATATCTATCTATCTATCTATATATATATATATATATATGATCAAAAGGCTTTAAATATGTCCGCCATCGACAGTAGGGGGGCACCACACCAGCTTGTAGATTGATGGATCACTATCTGGGGTTTGTCACCAACTCCTTAAACCTCCATTTTGGACCGACAGTTCCCATGTTTCTTTACTGAACATCTCCAAATAACTAGATTCGCCTAGTAAAACAGTGGATGTCCCCATGCTTATTGCATCGGTTTTGTCAACGCCGATGGCCATAGATTGGGGTATTCGATTACTGCACAAATCTGTGTCATGTTGTTGGGGCAATGTGCCCCGGACTTTATTCCCATAATGTATCCCCATTGTATCCCGATCTCATAAAATATTTGGTGAGCGGTCTCAACATCATCATGCCATTTGTTGAAGGGAACATAAACAATATGTTAAAACAACAAACATGTGTTAGTATACCGATTAGCTCCCCACTATATCCCACTATTATCCCATTAATCAAAACATCCCCATGATATCCCCACCCCCACACACACACAAAAAGCATCAAACAGGTCCCCCTCCAGTCCAAGAGCCTCCGCCGCTTCTTTCACCCGGCCCTGCCGGATACGATGCCTCGTAATCAGCAGCAGGGAATCAAAAATCGTTTTAAACACAGACAAAAAACAAACAAATTAACAAATGTATCTATGCAATATTTGTATTATATTATATATATATGTATATCATAAACATATCGAACATAGATAAACATAGATCAATTTCAGATATACATATGTTACCCACATTGGGTTGTTTTCCAAAGGACTGTCTCCTACAGGGAACGATGTTATTTTACCTACTAAAAATAAACAACAGTCCGCAACAGTTCAACCTGTTTTCAACCATGTAATTAGTGAACTTTAGGATGGAGCCATCCAAAATGAGACCTGCTGCAGGTCTTGCAAAATCCACATTCACTGTGCGGGGCTTGCCAATTCTTCGGGAGGTTGGAGTCATGTTTGGTGTCACACTGGAGGACTGTGAGGGTCGGGCAGTGATGCTCATGAAAAAGTATAAACATATGAAGAGCACATCATTATAATCATTGTAGAAACTAAAACTAAAGGCTCATGTTTAACCCCAAAGGTAGGATCCAAAATGTAGTTCCTACTAATTCAAAGTCAAAGATTTACCAAATTTTCCCAGCAGACGTAGTGGCTTTCCGCAGCTGGGTCTCCCATCCTCCACAGCAGCTCGCCGGCAGCACCGTGCTTTCCGGCCTTGTCCTGGAGGAAGGCCTGGGACGTGCCATGTAGAAACCGCCGGAAAAATCCCTGTTGATTTTCAAGGGAAACTATTTACCATGACATATTTACCATGATATTTACCATCTTTTCTGAAACCAGAAACCACCATATTTGATCAGAGTTTCAACCATGGTGTTTTCTGTAGATTCTCCATGAAACTGCCTCTCACCAAGTTCGAAGGAATTTAAAGAGACGAGCATGGTCCATAGGTGAACAAATGGGTGCTTTGGTAAACTAACATAGCTATGGAAAATGGGATAATTTACCTGTTAATCATGGCAATTTTCCATGTTAATTCCATCTTAGATTAACATTAAGCGTAATCATGAAGGGATGAACATATCAACCGCATCTATCGCAGCATGATATTACTTTTATGTCCTAGGAGACAATAAAACAAATATATCATATATCCATATTATGTTCATCAAAATTTTACACTCAAGGCAGTGAAGCAACTATTCACCAAGGTTTCCAAATTTCATCTGCAGTGTGCTGCAAAAGTTGATGAATGTGGTGGTTCTCCCTTGGGTTCCTTGTAGTGCTCGTTTTCCGAGTCAACAACAAACGAGGTAATTGCAGTCCAAAAAAAAGACATAGATATGGAACATTCACGGGGAAAAACCCTAGAACATGATCCATTTTCATGGTGGATGTTCATGGATTTTCCATATTAATGTGCTGGGTTGGAGGAGAATCCCCGTTCTTTCCATCCAATGCCGAGCTTTTCTCAAGCTGGGCTTGGAGCCAGCTGTTCTTGCTGGATTCCATCTGGATTCCATCTCCAGATTTCACCGGTTTTTATGGCGATTTCATCTCCAGATTTCACCAGATTTCACCGGTGTTTATGGCGATGTCTAAGGCTTTCATCTCTGTTTCACGATCACCAAAAAATTGAAGACCTACCCAGAAACACATTGGTCTGAGCCGCTCTGGATTCTAAAAAATCATGTACAAAACCAACCCCAAACCTTGATTGAACGCCATCACCATGGATGATTTCCGAATCAACCATCATCGACCATCATCATCCGTCATTTATGGCCTTTGGTCATCTTTCTTCGCGAGTTTAGTTCGCCATCAACGACCAGGCCTCAACGACACTGCCATGACCTTGTCCAGAACGACCCAAGAGAGCCTGCCAAGGTGACCATCCCAGCATGGCTGCCATCCCCAAGATGACTCGATGACCATTAAAATGGAGATTTTAATGGATGCTACATGCCATGGTATTTGCCATCTCTTAAATGGATTTAATTGGATTTAGATGGATGATGGATGATGATGGATGATGATGGTAGGTTTATCCCAACATATAGAGGTTATAACCCC